TTCCGCCAACCGCAGCAGATTCTCCACATCCTATTTCTCGCCCGGGGGCAGGGTGTAATTTGTTTTGCATAGTTCTAGGCGCGTGCTTGTATTTATTGTTTGTCTGTTTGCCTCTTGTTAACAATTTTGCACACAAGAAAATGTATTTGGAAAACCACCAGTGAAATTTGTATAGCTTAAAAAGTTTTGGAATATTTAAGCAACAATTCTGGGTCTCCAAAAAATATACAACAAAAATATTTTCAATTGAAATAATTTCCATCCCATCTTAATTTGACTTAAAAAAAAAATTAAATTAATTTTTTTCGTTCAATCCATTTCCATCTAAAAGTTTATCTCAGTGTAATACAACCTTGCCTTTGTTTTCTTTCTGCCTGGTCATCAGGACTGACTTTTCCTGCTATGGCTGTTTTTTGGCCTACACTTAATTCGGCCTTTGCTGAGGTTATCTAAACATCAGTCCATTTCAACTCATATTTATGTTTGGTCTTTTAATTTATTTATAAACTGGAGACATTTGCATTGCAACAACAGTCCACTGGCCTATCTATACGTTTCTTTTATGGCCATCTTCGGACCAACTAGCTTAATTTATGTTCGACTCATTTGATTAATGGATTTTGTTGAACCCAAAATTTACGAGTCACTAGCGAAACAATTTGAGGCTTGGCCTTAGGATCTTTATATTTTTTTTTGGCCAAAATATATCGACTCGCTTAGTAGGTCAGTTGTCAGTGGGGGAAAGAAGATTGCTGAAACTCATTCTACTAATCTGTCATTTGCCCTGGAGAAATATATTTCGCTTAAGTCGAGTTGACAATCAGATAGTTGAGGATAAGTCCTGAAAGCAGTTTAACATCCATTATATCGGCCAGTTGGTCTTTATTAGCTCTCCGCTCTACGCGTTCATAACTGACCACAATTATGTTGGCAAATCTTTGGTCATTTTTCATATTTCCACTCCCACGCACCCGAATTCCCACTCAACAGTTTGTCAACAGCGTTTTACACACAGCTCGTTTTGGCCGTAGTGCCGGGCTTTTATTAATTTCAATTTGTGTCAACATCAACGCTAAATATGCACGCCAAGAGGGGATGATTTAGGCCGTTGATGACAAAATGTTTGGCCATTAGGAGAATTAAAGCGCAGTCTTTCGGGGTCCTCCCTGTGACTTTGGCCGGCTTTGGTTATTGGACGGTTCATAAAACGGCAGCGACTAACCATTGTGGCTGAAAAGCCACACGAACCACTATAAAAACCATGATTGATGTGCTCGGCTTGACCCAAATGCATGTTTTTATGCCAAAATAATACGCTCTCATATCCTACCAGCTCAAGTATATATATGTATATATGAATTTTTATAGCTAAGCGAGTGTCCGTGTGTCAGGCCAACTGGACAATCTGCTTCGGCTTGGCAGAGTTCGTTGACCTTGCTGCAAAAGTTTCTGCTAATGCTTTTTATCTGACCATTTGCCGGCTCAGCACGCTGCGTATACGTAATATGGAATTTAACTTTTACTTTATGCAACTTCTTCGGAGCCAGAGCACTCAAGCACAATGTAATCGCTATTAATGAATGCCCTGAAAAGTGCGAAAGAAACGAAAACAAACAAGCAGCCAAACAAAATACATTTCCACACAGGCAAACACATAGCCACACAAACACACACTCAAAAACACAGATGGAACTACATACGTAAAAACTTAAGCCAACAAAGAAACAACAAGTCCACAATGTGACCGAAAGCCATATGCTTCGCGTCCTTAGCTCGGATGCTTTTCAAATATGAGCAACGAAAATAAAAGTTGATATCCTATAAAAAAAGACTAGCTATCGTTGTAGCCTTATTCGATATTAAATGGATTTAAGTAATCAGCCAAACTAATATATTTCTTAATTAATGTATTTGTATATTATTAATAAATTATTTATTTTCTTTTTGTTAGTTATTTTATTTTTAATTCCTCTAAATCTGCTTTATGCAAATAATTTAAAAGCAATTTTTAATAATTCAGAATAAAACTACATTTCAATGAAAAATTATATATTTATAGTTGTAGACTAACAGTTTTTTATTTTTATGCACATAATGGTGTTTAATAGAATAACATTTAAATCAGTACAGCGTATATTTTAGCGACCTTCTCTAAGTCCAACTGAGTTCACAGAACACACTATAGTTTTCTGGGAGGGCCTGCCGCGAACATAGCTACAAGGACTGATTTATAACCGCAGCTGCTACAACTGCAACAATAAGGAAGGGCGGGAGAAGTCCTTTTCTTGTGAAATGAAATTAATTTCCCATTGCCTTTGTTTGTGGCCACCCATTTGTCTTTGTTGCTGCATTTTACGATCCGCGGGCAGTGGTTGGAATTTGTCAGCACGGGCGATTTAGTGGGATTAAAGCCACGAGTCCCAAAGCCGCACAAAGTGCACTTAAAGTCGCTTAGAAATGGGGGTTAACGGATGGAACATTAAGGGTTAAGGAAAACGGATACCACCGTTTCGCAGCGCGTGGCTCTCGACTGCCAAGTGGCTGCTATTGTTATGGCTGTCCCACTTAATAATCAGACATAATAGTTTGCGGCAGATGAAGTTGCTCCAATGCAACAGGTGCTCTGCAAGGATTGCCTTTTAATGAGGATTTACGGTTGTTGTGGCGGGTCGAAATCTTCTTTCTTATCCTTTTTGCGGTCTTATCCTTTACCGTGTGCCTTTGGCTTATGCGCTGAACTCTTTTTCCTTTGGTTGAAATTAAATTTCGCACTTTTAATGTTCTCGCAGCAAAAAAGCAATTTCCTCGAGGTGCAAAGCCAAATTGAAAAAGGCATAATGACTTGCCAAAAAAGGGCAAGCAACACAGACACACACGTATAAATGGGAGAAAAGTAAGCAAAAAGGGGCAACCAGAAATGGTCGATCATTAAAAAAGGCTTACAATGTGCCATTTATTACATTTTTATAGCGCCCGCAGCATGGGACATAATAAAAATATAAATCTGACTAAAAGAAATCTGACAAAAGTTATGTTGTGTAAAACGAATGCCGGCTTTTATTACTCTTATTATATTATCTACCCGTCAATATGCTATAGAAAATATTTTATACATTTTTTGTCAGTTTTTCTGCCCAAAATCTTTTTTCAATACATGAACAATGTTATACACAAATCGATTTTATTGACCATTATGGGGTAACCACATTCGTTTAAAGAGAATTTCGGGAATATTTTAAATATAAATTATTCTAATAATTTTATTCGTATGTTAGAGTAAATTTTGAATCCTCAAAACCCTAGCCTAGGCAACTAAATAGAAAATTTTAACGATTTTTCTTTCTTTAGACAAAAAATATTTGAATCGGTTAAATCAAATATCTGCCATCTCTTTTTACAAATTAAAGTCCCAAAACGTGAGAAAAATGTATTCCCAGAAATGGTGTCTAATAAAAATAGGAGCTGAGCCAACATCAAATGCGAAAAAGTTTTGTAACGCGTGAAAAGTTCCGACTGCCTTAACTTTGCTTCAAGCGCGAATATACTTTCCCAAAAGTCATGCTAGAAAATTGCACTTGAGCTGCCGAACGCAAACACTTCAGGACACCAAGCCGATAAAGGCTTTAAGGAAACTCGCCAAGTCACTTTCTGGTAAAACATCAAAATCAAAGTCGGTAGAAAATATACGAAAATGTTTACTACTTACAAATGAAGGCAGCCACATTTAATAATAAACGCGACACCGGTGAATAATGAAAAACGAGGCAGACAGGATGTGTAAAAAATGAGTAAAAGTAGCCGTTTGCTCATTTGTTGATTTATGCGCCAATTTGCACAACATGATGGACTGGCAGACAGCAAAATGGTCTAAGGCTCCCGGCGCCAAAGAATCGCCTCTTCTTATATTTCTATATATAAATATTTGTATATATATTCAGCTCGCACTTAGGCCGAAAAAAAAACCCAAAAAGTGAATACTGCAAGTATGGGCGGCAAAAAGTTGTAGCATAAGGAGGGGCGTCTTCGGTCTGAGCGCAGCCTCAAGGACGAAGACTGTCAAGATTTCAACTTTTTTCGGGACAAGTTTACTCAGCTTGCCCTTAAGGCAAGTCCACGTCAACATCGGTGTTGGCGTCAGACTGCAAGACCCCGAGGCCATAATTCAAACTTACCTTCAATGGATGTGAGTCTTGGGAGAAGCGTTAGGAGCAAATTTAATTTGCTGAAAAAATTGAAGATGCGGTATGCAGTTCATTAGTCATATTAAAAAATCTGAGTAATATTACACTTTCTTCAGGAAAATACAGCTTTAACTATTTATTGCTATTATTACACTTTAAAATACTTTAGAACAAATATTCCTGCACAAGCAAAGCACAGTCAATATTATTCGATGCAAAACAACAGAAGTATTGAATATTTACTTTACAAAAATATTTTAGTTATTGCATACAAATCCATGATTCTATAAATTAGAGCTTATATATCAGCCGCTACTCGACTAGTTTGCGTACTAAAGGAAAAGTTTTATTTACAATTTCGTATTTTTCAATGTTTTAATACCCCTGAACTTATTTCCATTTTTTATCTGTTTTTAAGAAAACCAAGAAAAATATTTTTCAAAGTGCAAGTCCTCCATCTTGGCAGCAATTTCCTGCTGAAATAACGTTGGATGTCTGGCTTTCATCATGTCAGTGTGTGGGTGAGAGTCCACGGGTGTTTGTGTGTGTAGAATGCCGTGTTGTCCTAGTCTTGTTAGTACTGAACTGGAAGAAGCAAACTTCCGCCGGCACATCCTGCCCAATGCTCCTGCCACCATGAATTCATAGCTCTATCATTTTTATGGCTATTTAAAGAGCCATAAACAACGTGAGTGTGAGTGTGTGTGCTTGGGGAGAATTAAATTGAGTTTTATGCGAGATTTCCGTCCTTAACACTTTGTTGACAATGAATTTGATAGGCGTTTAATGAAATGTGACCAAACTCTGTTCCTTTTTCAGACCGCACAATTTGCACTTCTCTGGATCCTGTTCACCACAATCGTCGTGGGAAACTCGGCGGTACTTTTTGTGATGTTCATCAACAAGAATCGGAAATCGCGGATGAACTACTTTATCAAGCAGCTGGCCTGGGCAGGTGAGTTTGGGGATTGGCTTTTCCTCTTCCCTGATTTCTAATACCCAGTCTATTATTTTCAGATCTGAGCGTGGGATTGCTCAACGTGCTAACGGACATTATATGGCGCACCACAATTGAGTGGCGGGCGGGCAACGTGGCCTGCAAGGTCATCCGCTTCTCGCAGGTGTGGGTCACATACTCATCCACCTACGTGCTGGTGGCCATGAGCATCGACAGATACGACGCCATCACACACCCGATGAACTTCTCAACGTCGTGTAAGTTAAGTCGTCGAGGGAAAAGTTTTCTAATTGCCAAATGTTGTTAGCCAAAGCGCTGTTTGTGGTTTCTTTAGTTGAAGACTTTCTGCAATTTTTATAAATTTAGTTTAACAATGTTTTAAAATAAGATTTTCAAGCTATTAACTGGAGGATTTTTTTAATTTGGGAAAGTGACAATGATTTTATAATCATTAAAAATTAGTTTAAATTAGTTTTGTAAAGAAGTGAAAAGCATACTAGGAAAATTCATTTTATTTTGGTTTGTTTATAGCTATATATATTTTGCATGCCTTTACCGCATTACAACTTTATTTTTTTAACTCTTATCAAAAAACTACATAATTCTTTTAATATTGAAAATAATTTTGTGTTACATATTTAAGTAAGAAAAACATTAAGGTGTTGTAAATATAAAATGAACAATAACTTTTTTGTTTGTAGGGAAAAGGGCGCGACATATGGTAGCCGGTTCGTGGATCCTCTCTGCATTATTTTCGATGCCCATCCTGGTGTTGTACGAGGAGAGGCTCATCCAGGGACGGAAGCAGTGCTGGATTGAACTGGGCACCCCACTAGCCTGGCAAGTGTACATGAGTATGGTTTCCACCGCTCTATTTGTGGTCCCCGCTTTGATCATCTCCGCCTGTTATGCAATCATCGTGAAGACGATTTGGGCCAAGGGATCCATATTCGTTCCCACAGGTAGGATACATTCATTAAAATGCCCCTATTATAATATGTAACTCATAAATTTATGTCAAGAAAAATTATACCTATATTAAAAACTTCATAATACTGAATTCTAAAGCTTACTATTTTTTTTCCTAATTTTAATAATTTTCAGAGCGTGCTGGATTTGGGGCGGCACCAGCAAGACGGGCTAGTTCAAGGGGCATCATTCCTCGGGCCAAGGTCAAAACGGTCAAGATGACTCTGACCATCGTGTTTATGTTCATCATCTGCTGGTCGCCCTTCATCGTCTTCGATCTGCTCCAAGTCTACGGACAGATTCCGTACTCGCAAAACACTATCGCCATCGCCTCCTTTGTCCAGAGCATGGCACCATTAAATTCGGCAGCCAATCCGCTGATTTACTGCCTCTTTTCCTCGCAGGTCTTTCGCACTCTGAGGTAAGTTAAGTATTTTATGTGCAATAGGGTTTCCATAATTTCAATTTCTTTATGAGTCGAACTAGTTTCATTCGTTTAAGAGAGTTTAACATCAATTTTAAGTCTCTTTAACTCAAACTTTGGTTGCTTCGATATATGGAAGGGTGGACCGTAGTTTCATTTGAATATAGTATTGATAGCACCCATAATTTTAACACACGGATTGTTTCTAAAAAAATAAAAATTTTAAAAATTTTTAAACGATGTATTGTAAACGTTTTTTTATGTATTCATGAAATCTTTTTTTTTAAATTTTATTTGTATTTGTATCTGCCAGTCGCTTTCCGCCCTTCAAGTGGTTAACCTGCTGCTGCAAGTCGTACCGCAACAACTCGCAGCAGAACCGCTGCCACACAGTGGGTCGCCGATTGCACAACAGTTGCGATTCGATGAGGACGCTGACCACCTCGCTAACCGTTTCCCGGAGGTCCACCAACAAGACCAATGCCCGAGTGGTCATCTGCGAAAGACCCACCAAGGTGGTTACCGTGCCGGCCATGTCGGAGGTATGATAGCTGGCCCACACAACCCGCAAGAGATCCGCTTTCGCGATCCACGGACCCACATCCTTCAGCGACGCAGAGTTCCTTTAAATGGAGAACGGGTCCATCCTGTGAATGCACCAGAGGCTTAGACAATAAGTTCGATAGTTGTAGCATGCATAGAGAAAGCCAAATGTAAGTCCTAAGTCGTAAGTATGGCAAGTCTACGGTACGAATTTCAAACCTATAGTTCAAGTAATGCATGATCTAGAGTGGCATTTGTATGACTTTTTATGAATACTAATTATATAGTAAGAATCTACAAAAGTAGTAATAATTATTTACGAATTCCTCGTATAGATGTCACAGAAATGTTGCTTTTGTATTGTTTTGCATATTTATTATTTCAACAAATGCTTTTCGTAATTCAAACATTTATTAGCTAATTATATAAGTTTTAAATTATTAAAGGTACTCTGGTATTGTCCATTATACGATTTTCTGTGACACGTATTAAAACTGGGAGCGACTTTCAAGGCAATCGATCTTAATATTATAAACATTTTTGCGAGACCCCTGAGAGACTAGGTTTCAGTCCATTTATAAGCTTACTTTAGACGCTCTTTTAGTTTTATTCTATTTAACAGACTGATTTTATTTATGTGTGACTCACGGACATTTACCAGAAATTTAAAATGCATTTCTTTGCAGACCTAACTAGCTGTTAAGCCCATTTAAATTCCAACTTATCCAAATATATATAGCCACTCCTAATGGTGTATAAACATGCCCAAGCATCTTAAACCAAAACCCATTAAGCATAAGTATATCATAAGAGTTAATAGAGCATAACGTTGTAGTCAATTTGGTTTAAGATAATATTTATTTCATAATTATGTGTAAAGGCAAAATAAAGGCAGAGACTTGAGTGTCCCGCATTTTCCTTCATTTTCTTGGCAAGCGCTGGAAATTTCCCTTTTTAGTTCGCCCCACTCAACAAAGGACATAAGGACGACTTTTGCCCTAACTCCAAATATAATTGTTGTGATGATGTGGTATTGTCTGTGGCCCCTACTGACGTCACTTGTGGAAAGTCAACATGACAGATAAATTGAGCGACAAACCGGGCAGACAATAAAAACATATTGGTTTCTGTGGGCTCTGCAAACACCCAACGGTTATATCATTTACTTATATTGTCTGCAAATGGCAAATTTACCATGCCAACTTCCAGTGAATCTGTTTATGTTTGTCTTGTGGCTGAATAAATTCATGAATGGCTTCACCCCTTGCGAATTTGCGTTCTACATTTCCTGATATTAAATCGCTTGGGTGGGCAGATGGAAACTATAGAAACTTGATGGGACAGTCGGCAAATAAATTTATTTCAGGTCCTGTTGCAGAAATACTTTTCACTGAAGCCCATTCGGTTCATTGTGCTCGAGGGAGGGAGAAAAATCCATTAAGGAGCTTACTTTATACAGCGGACAAATGCAAAATTTTTGCAATTATGATTTTTCAATTTATTTGTCAACTTTTAATTGAAATGCTATTAGCAAATTAGTAAACAATGGCGCAGTACAAATTATTTACTTAGGAATATTTCTAATGATTTGATTGGTTTATTGTTTGCATTGGCCTTTATAAATGAATTTTGTTGCAATAGCTAATAAAATGGTATTCAAATAGAAAACATGTTTTTATTTTGCACAGTAATATCTATTATCTTAATTTTAATTATCCACATTGGGGAATAACATATTTTTGTTGGCATCGCATATTGGCTTTATCTTTCAAAATTAATAACTAAAAAAATATCTCAAAATTGCAAAACAAATGAAAATTGACAATAAGTTACTACTCCACGTAAACAAAAGCTCTCATCAATGCTAAGCCGAAGATTTGATTTAAAGAATATCAACCGCCAGTTTTAAATCAATCTACAGTTCATAAATTCGTCAAAAAAGACATGTTTCCAAATTTCTGCTTCACGAAATCGGTTAGACAGTCGGGCTACGATGTTATAAAGAAAGGCTATACCGCTGAGGACAATCGCCATTCCGCCCGCTTAGTGACGTCAGCAACCGGCGAAAGGAACCGCAATCGGTCGGAAGTCCGCTACTCCGCCGCTCCCAAACGTCCCAAACACCAGAGGAATATTTCCAAATCCAGTTCCTCACGGGCTAAGGCTCCGTCCCCCAGAAGTGTGGGATTCCAGCTGACCCCCGTTGTTTGTTCGAGTAAAAAGAATAGCCGAGAAACAGCCGGCGACGATTGTCAGAAGGATAAAATGCCATCTAGTCCCAACAACGACCCCAATCGCGAACTGCAGGAATCCTTCGCCGACTTCTTCAGCATTATTCACGACAATGTCCTGGAGTCGGTGCAGGAGGCCGTGCAGCGAATGGTGTCCAAGTGCTTCGAGGAGTCCTTGACTAAGATGGACCGACTGTCCAAGGAGCTGGAGCAGCAGGCAACGCTGCTCAACAAAATCCATCGCGATGTCACGAACAGTAAGTTCTGGGTTTTATAAGAAAGAGTAATTTATTCTTTAAATCTTTTAGAAAATCAATTATTAAGCCGTATAAGTCAGTTTATTTATATTGTCAAAAAAATAATTTCTCAAATTATTTTTAAAAACTTTAGATGATTTTCTATAAAGTCTTCTTTCTGTTTTATATAAATAGAAACAATCGTAATTAAAGCGAAATAAAATTATAACTTTGTGACATAACATATACCCATATACTCCGAGATATTGTACTTTCTAACAATTTTGAATTTTTAAATTTAAATCGACATAGCTTTCTTGTTTTAAGATCTGCAAGGGTATAAAAACTTCGACTTGCCGAAGCTCGCTTCCTTTATTGTGTAATTTCGAATATACCTTAATGGGTTTAAAACAGTTTTGTTCTTAAGTGCTTTACCTTTACCCTTAGAAATTAGTGCTCAGAGTGAAACGAACTTGAATCAATTCAAGTTCGTAACCCAAATGCTCATCGATAACCAAACCGTGCACTACAGAGCTCTCAATCAGGTGAAGGTGAACAGACAACGACGCAAGGAGGAACGGGATTTGGAGAAGGACCGGAAACAGGAGTGGGAACGGAAGCGAAAGTGCGCCTGTAAGGAGGTGCAGAATGAACGGGTTCAACGGTGCAGGAGTTCCAGCGTAGATCTATCGAAGAGACACACAGGTGGCGATGCAAGGGAATTAATGTCGAAAGCGCCACAGCATCAATTGTCTGAGCAGCAAGCGCCTCTGGTTTATCAAATGTGCAGGTCCTGCACTAATCAGGAACCAATTGAAAGAGGCAAAAGAGTTTCCAGGTCCTCATCGAAACATACAAACACCCCTGTTCTGCGAGGGCGATCCACTTCTTACAGCATGCCGGATCTCTCCGGTCGCACTTCGTCTATTTCTGGGCGGTTCTCTCAGCCTCAGCCTTCTTCAAGGACTTCCAAGAGCTGCTTATGCCGCTCCTTAAGCAAAAACCAACCAGAACAGATTGTCTGCCTTCCAGCCATGACCTATCCGCCCTACGTCCGCAATTGTCCAGTGCCCCGGCGGAGGTTAGTCCGCCGTTTAAAATATGGAGCAAATCATGTGGATGGCAAATAGGAATAGTCTTTTATTTACATTTTGTGTACAAAATCTGATTTGTCAGCCAGTTGCACTGCATGGCTAAGGCATCCTGTACACTTGGAATCCTTTTCATGTTTTGCAACTGGCGGTTTCAACAGACAGTCGAAATTATGAAAATAATCTTAAAAAGTGTGCTCAAGTTTTACCCCATTTTACCAATTACAATAAAAAATATTAAAATTGCATGCAATGTTATGATTTATTTATAATTAGCTTCAAAAACAAATACACAAGCCTCTTTAATTTATATTAACTAAAAGGAACATTAAAAACCGAACATGTATACCGGTAACATATTTAAAAGGTGAAAGAATTAATTCATACAGATCAATTAGAACAAGGTTTGGTATAAAATAACCAATATAACCATAGACACAGGCTGACCTTATCGTTATGAGTTCCCTAATCGGAACTTTCGTTGACCTTCAAATCATTAGCTTTCTTCAGCTCTACGGTTTCGTAGTAATTCTTCTTTCGTAAATAGCGCTGAAGAATTGGAGACAGTAAATTTTCATCCACATCCTTGATATCCTGTCGACCAAAAACAAACGTAGCCAAGTTTGAAATAATAATGGTAAGAAGAGCTCCCATCATGGCGTATAATAGAAATGACATGTGGTACACAGATGATCCACTATGCGGCTCGCTAAAGAATAAAATGTTATTAAGTCAAAAGAAATTTATTTGTAGACTAGACGAACTCACTATTCCGAAGTGGAGTTTAGGTAGCGACTCTTGTCGAAGTCATAGTCACAATTTTCCACGGAAACGGGCAGTTTGGTATGCCGAAATGAACCGGTAATGTTGGCTATTTGAGCATTCACCGCTATCCAGGCCATGGTTAAAAAGGAAGCAATGCTGCCCACAAAAATGCACTGCAATATAATTTTATTTCTATAAGCTAAATCACTTTTTAAGGGGATTTTTTTGAACTCACCTTTTCGCCCACCCAGGGCATAAGCATTCCCACCGCAAATATGCCCAACATTGGTCCATATAAACTCGACTGAAGAGTTGCCGACAGCTGCAGCACCATGCCCAGCTTCTCCACCACATAGACCATGAAAATCGAACTGATGCCGAAGATTACCACCACAACGCGCATGGTCAGAGCCACGTGGCTCTCCTTCATCGCTTTTCCCATGCGAGGACGCACAAAGTCCTCCAGGATTACGGCGGCCAAAGAGTTGAGGAGCGTGGATAAAGAGCTCAGGGCAGCACTAAACACAGCCGATACAAAGAGTCCTGGCAGACCAGGAACAACTCCCAGGACGCGCATCACCAGCAAAGGGACCAACTGATCCCGACGTCCAGCAAGCTTAAGAAAATAAAGGTGGTAAATTAACAAGGAATGGAAGTCTGCTTTTGATTTGGTAAATGTACATGGCCAAATTTAAAGAATATGGTAATAATCTAATAATAAACTGTGGAAAATATTTTTGACCTACGTAATTTGGAATACAAAAGTTTTATCGGATTTTTAAATGTTACAAAAAGTAGCTTTGAAATCCTATTAATGCATACTCTTTTCGTGGGCTTATCGCATATACCTTTCAGGGAACTTCTAATACTTACTCCAGTAGACATCGGATCGCAGTCGTAATAGGTGGCATAGCACACTAATCCCACATAAACGCATCCCATATAGAGCAGTGTCAATCCAATGGAGAATGTAATTAGGGTCTGTTTGATGGCCTTCAACGAGGGCAGTGACATAAATCGCTGAACCGTGGCCTGGTTGATCGAGGTGCTCTGCAGCTTGAAGAAGGTTCCACCCACGAATACAGAAAACACACTCAGTCGAACTGTGGGATCCATAGTCCATCTGTGTAGTACGAATACACTTTAGAATATATGAACAAGTTTACCTGAAACTGCCACTTACTCGGGGGCATTAAGCCGTCCACCCTCTTGATTAATCTGCAACACAGCACCAACGCCACCCAAATCCAAGGTGCCCTTGATCATAATCACAATCAGGGATCCATACATAATAACGCTCTGAACAACATCCGTGTAGACCACGCCCTTTATTCCGCCCACGCAGGTGTAGAAGGTGCAAATGATGACCACTATGGGTGTGATGGTGTGGATACCAATTCCAGACACTTGATTGAAGGTTAAAGCTGGGACATAGACAGCAATGGGAAGCCATATAATCTGAAAGGATGAATAAATAAATTAGTAAAGATTTTCTAAGCCAAAAAACATGAACTTACCGCCTTCAGAACAAATAAGCTAGCTCCAAACAAACGCATTCGCCGGCTAAAACGTCTCTCAAAATACTGAAAGAGTGAGTGTGTATAAGTAACGATTTGCCAAAGATTGTTGATCATAGGACAGACCCATTTGCAGGCTCATAATAAAAGTTAGCTAAAAAAGGCAATTAAGCCAAGCGTTTAGTTATGTAAGGGTACAAAACAATTTATATAACTAAGGAAAACTACAGGGCTTTTGGTTTTGCATACAAGATAAATATATTTAAGGAATTAAGGATAAAAGATATTGATTATCCCACGGATTTTTCCTCCTTTTCCAATTTTGGCTGCGTTTCCGATTCGTGGAGGGAAAACTCAGTTTTTTCCTCAGTGGCCACGCTGTCGTATTTTCCATACCAGAATTTCCGCAGAACCGGGCTAATAAGTTCCTTATCGACCACTCGGGGATCCTGTCGGCCAAAGTAAAGAGTGGCCAGCAGAGATCCAAGTACGGTACCCACAGAGCCCACTGCAGTGTACCACAAAAATGAGATCTCATGAATCCCATGACTACTGGATTCAGTTGGTGTTCTATAAAAAAATATGTAATTCAATTAAGATATTTTTCAAAACAGTTTCATCGCTTGGAACAATTACATACGCCGTGGTGGTGGCGTTCCAATTGTCAGGGAGATCAAAGGTATAGTCACAGTCCTCCACAGAAACGGGTTTCGCTGGGAAAGTCAGCACTCCCCTGAAAATTGCGATTTGTGCCTTAACCACAATATAGGCTGTGAAACTTGAGGCGCACGAGATGCCTGTGAGCAGACTCTAAAAAAATATAGATAAATCATTTAAAGAACTTTTGTTGATTTTTTAACCACAGGCCATCAAACCTCAGTCTTAACAAAAGGCAGCAGCATGCCCACACTAAAGGCTCCAAGAAGTGGACCACAAGTTATAGCCGCTACTGTAGAGGATAGCTGCATGACCAGGCCGAGTCTCTGGACAATTGGTACACTGGCCATCGAGATAAGTCCAAATGAGATGACCACTCCCCTCAACAAATAGGCGGTTTGTCGCTCCGTCAGCGGCTTCTTCCGGTAGGGTTCCACAAAGTCCTTGAGAATCACACCGGAAAGCGCATTTAGAGCCGTCGAAAGGGAACTCAGGGCGGCACTGAAAACCCCAGCTACGAACAGGCCAACCAGGCCGGGAATATGGCCAACGTTTTTCATTACATAAAGGGGTATGACTTGATCCTTAGCCCGAGCTAGCTGCAATAGAGATTAGACATAGTCGACACATACATAAAATTATTTTGTACATTTAAAGACCTTAGTTACAAATTTGTACCTAGTGCTTTTAGGACGGTACATTTTTTTGATAATATTAAAGACCTCTGTTTCTTTCTATTTTTTTCAAATGTTTTGCAGAACTTACCCCCGTTGTGATGGGATCGCAATGATAAAACTCAGCAAATGCCAGCATTCCAATGTAAACGCACATCAGCATGACCATCATGAAGCCAATTAGCGATAGAACCAAAGCCTTCTTCACGTCCCGATTATTGGGCAAGGTGAGATAACGCTGGACAATGGCCTGATTAATTCCATTTGCCTGTAGCTTAAACAAGGCGCCACCGACAAACAAGGCGAAAACACCCATTCTCGCAGTCGGATCAAAGGTCATGCTGAAATTAATTAATTTTTTGAATTAAAAGCACTTGATATTCCGAAATATATACACTTACTCTGGGCCCACTAAGCGATCGTACTGACGATTGTGGTCCAAAACAACGCTTAAGCCCCCCAGATCCATAGTTCCTTTAACAATAACAATGGCCATAGAACCTACCATTACGATGCCCTGAATAACATCGGTCCAAACAACGCCTTTAATACCACCCTAGAATTATATAAATAAGTCAATTTATATAATTATGAAATACCGGTCTTAATACTCACCACACTGGTGTACAAAATACAAACAAAACTTGTAAAAGGTACAATCTTGTTGACACTTATTCCAGAAACTAAAAAATACGAAAAATTAAAATGAAATTAAGAATTCACCTATTAAATTAAATTACCTTGGTTTAGCGTTAAGGCAGGAACATAAATGCAGATGGGCTGCCACAATATCTATAGAAAATGCTTTATTACATAATTTGTTATTATACGTTCGATATTCAACTCACATTCATCACCACAAAGAGGCAGGATCCAAAGATGCGAACTCGTCGATCAAAACGTCTTTCGAAATACTACGATAAACGAAATCAAACAGAAACAAAAACAAAGATTTTATAGGATGCATGGTTATTTACAGGATGAATTGGATATATATACAACATGCTAGGATATAATGGCACACACAATTAAATAAAAAGCATTAATGTAGAACAGAAAGTACATGTTTTATTGGCAAAGTTTAAGGAGAACTTTCTGACTCAATTTCGACCTTCCGCTTAAAAAGATCCTGCATGTTAACAGCCTCGTAATTTTTGTTTGGTAAAAAGCGTCGCATGCAGGGCGTGATTAAGGCCGGATCCATTTTATCAAGATCCTCCCAGCCAAAAATCAAACCAGCTAATACCGAAATCACAATACAAATAACTCCGCCCAAAGCCGTATACCAAAGGAAGGACAAATGGTAAAGATTTTGCTCGGATGGCCTAAAAAGTAAGTTTTTTTTAATACGCCAAGCAATAGATTCCCATACTTACCTGTACCCGTGGATGGTATCATATACTGTGTGATTATCATATGCATAGTCACAACCATCAACTGAAACGGGTAGTTTGGAATAGCGAATTTCTCCATTCATTTGACCCAACTGCGCCTTGACACATATCCAGGTTAGAACCAGAAAAGAGACCAAACTGCCAACCAAAACACTCTGAAATAAATTGAAAAATGATTGATGTAACATGTGCTCATAAAAAATGTAAGCTGTGATTATTTTGAATACCAATTTTCGTAAGAACTTTGAAGACTCACCTTCCCCTTAACCCATGGCAGGCCGACGCCCATACAATAAATGCCCAAAAGCGGACCCATCGAAACGGCCGCTGTGCTGGTGGCCAAGGGAACCACTTGGCCCAACTTCTCCACAATGTTGACCATTCCAAGGCAGGAGAATCCGCAAACGACGACTATTGCCCGCAGCCAAAAAGCCGTCTGGCGCTCCGTCATCGGTTTTTTCAGCAAGGGTCTCACAATGTCTTGAGTAATCACACAGGCCAGGGAGTTAAGACCCGTGGATAGGGAGCTCAGAGCAGCACTAAAAACCCCAGACACAAATAGTCCTGGTAAACCAGGCAGAGAACCCAAAGTTCGCATCATTAGCAGGGAAGGCAGTTGGTCAACGGCCGTAGCTAACTGTGGATTTAAATAAATAAATTAATAATTAGAAATAACACTAAACGAACAATAATAATAATATTGAAAATAAATAATAAACCACAAAGATAATAATATTCGAAAGGATTTTTGGAAAAGTTGTATAGGTCTATATTCGTTGATATCTGCAAAGCTTATGGCATTGTATTAATATATACAAATCAAGGCCTTATTTAAGAATTACATTTCTAGAAAATGCAAAGCTTACCTTGGTACTAATCGGATCGCAATCGTGGTAAACAGCATAGGACACCAGACCCATATAACTGCAGCAGCTGAGTAAGAATATTAACAGCAGTGTGAAAATCAGCATGCATCGCTTGGCGTGCTCGTAACTTGGCAGGGAGAGGAATCGCTGAATGGACACCTGGTTGACATCCGAGGACTGGATCTTGTGCAGAGTGCCGCCCAAAATCACAGACATCATTGACAGCCGCACTGTGGGATCCCATGTCCACCTGCCGGTTTAGAATAGCCACACAATTACGGGGGAAATTAATCATCACGTAGACCTACTCTGGGGTATTAAGACGTCCGCCACTGTCGTTGCGGTCCAGGACCACACCCAGTCCGCCCACATCAAGGGTGCCCTTAATGCAGACCGCCAAAATGGAACCAAACATCACGAAGCTCTGAATGACATCTGTCCAAATGACGGCCTTCAGTCCGCCCTAAAATTACAAAATCTTCGAGTTGACAAGTTGGTAGCTAAATTTAATTAAACCTTACCACACACGTGTAGAAAGTGCAGATGGTGCAGACAATGGGGGTTATTACATGGATGCCAGTACCAGTCACTGCAAGACGGTAATGTAGCAATAAAAAGGAATATTTGCGTTAACTCAGAATATGTATGTAACACCCTTATCCATTTCAATGTCGAAAGCAAAAGGGGTGAAAAAAAGATCCATAAATGCAAGTTAAACCCTTTAATTATTTGTGTCAAACAATATCCAAGTAAAAGTATCTAGAAAAACTAATGAAATCGTTGATTTTAATCTGCAATATTTTGGGCCAAAAAGTATGCCGAATAATAAAATTATATATAATAATAAGCAAGTAAGCGGCTTAGCCAATTTAATGCTTGGAAGAATATAAAAGTAAAATAGAAGTTTCCCTTTTTGGTCTAGAATAAGAAACATTTTTTTCAGTGTTTTTTTAATCAGGCAGTTAAAGGGATTTGTTATATTTTAACCAAAATCTAACTCACCCTGATTATAGGTGATGGCCGGTACATACAATGCCACGGGAAGCCAGAGCATCTGCGGGATTGAGCAAGAAATGTTAATGGGTTAAAATTATTTAATGGGCTGGCAAACTCACCGTTCCCACTATGAAGAGAACCGAACCCAAATTGCGTATGCCAGCACCATAGCGCAATTGAAAGTACTAGAGGTTTAAAGGATTTTGGTTAGATTTTACATATTTCATTATAAAGTTTACTTAGACGTAATTTGGTTTCATTCCAAGCTATTTATACATATATATATGTGATATTTACAGGCAAGCAATTCTAATTTAACTGAAAAAAACTTGAGGGTGCTGCTTAAGAATATATTTTATTGACAAGTACATGGCATGGTGTTACTTTCTACGATTTCTCATTGAATCTTTTCAATGTGTTCTCGTCCAGTTTGACGCTGAAATAGCTTGCTTTCTGGAAACCGCGAATGCAGGGCGAGAGCAAATCAATATCCACATCTTCGGCCTTATTTCGGCCGAAAATAAAGCCAGCTAAATGGGCGGTGGTCACGCTCACAATGGCACCCATGGCGCAATAGAGCATGAAGGAGACGTGGTACAGCTGCTGGGCAAAACCGAGCGATCTGTGAATACATCCTTGTACGGCAAGTGTTTTTGATGAAATCCAGAAAAACTTACTCAGATTCTGCCATCGAAATGGTGGCATTAGCAGGAGTCACCAGGGGACGCTCGAATTCGTAGTCACAACCTTCTACGCTTACTGGCTTGCTCTCGAACTGCAATTCACCGGAGTTGATGGCCAATTGCGCCGATATGGACAGCCAGCTCATGAAGAAAAACGAGCAAAGAGATCCCACAAAGGCGCTCTTTAAGGATATTAATTGTTATATGTTATAAAAAACGTTAATTTGCCGAATTATATTTTTCACAAGCCCACACTTACAAGGATCACGATTTTATGTGAAAACTTCCAAAAAGTGAACTTTTGCCAAATATAATTCTAAGGTTTTGAACTTTTGGAAAGGGGGGTTGCTTGGACGTTTTGACCACTTACTTTTGAGTTGATGCTTGGGCACAGCAGGCCCATCAGAAAGAGACCCAAAAGAGGACCCTGGACCACCGATCCCACGGTCATGGAAAGCTGCATCACATGGGAGCCCATTTGCTCCACAACTAAGACCAGAGCCACACTTACGACCCCAATAATCACAGTGCAGACACGCATGGTGACAGCGGTTTGGTGCTCAGTGAGGGGTTTTTTCACCAGGGGCCTAATGTAATCCTCCAAGAAAACTGCGGCCAGAGAATTCATTCCCGTAGACAGGGAACTGAGCGCGGCACTAAACACTCCGGCAACAAACATGCCGGGAACTCCGGGAAACGAGCTCATGGATTGCACCACGAGAAGGGGAACCAACTGATCCTTTGCCACCGCCAACTGCAAGTTTTTTTTAAGTCATTAAAATGTTGTAACATTTCATAAATGGGATGCATTACGATTAAATTTGTGCTACAATTTCAAGGTATTAGTTATTGACTTGAATTTTGAAGTACAGTTAGATTATTAAAACAAGACAAGGACATCATTTTATATTTATAATAATAAATTAACGAAAAAAAATATATAAAATTTATTTACGACATTTTCGGTTTCGCAAACAATAAAATCAATAAGCTTTAATAAATTCAAAGAAATAAAATAAATAAACATAAGTTTAGATTCGGTTACCTTTGTGGTCAGGGGATCGCAGTCGTAGTAGGTTGCGGAAAGCAGAAGTCCATTGTACAGACAGAGGGACATCAGGGCAACCAATCCGAAAATGAAGAGGAACGAGCAGTGGGCCATCTCTTTGATTCCGGGCAGGGAAAGATATCGCTGGGTGATCATCTGATTGCAGCCGAGATTGAAGGTGCTGTTTGCCACGTGTCCCACCAACATTGCCAGCATGGACATCCTCACCGTCGGATCAAGCGTGAATCTGTTTCGAAAACGTCTCAGATTATTAAATGGCAGGACACGTGTACCGCACATCCTGGCAGAATTACCTGCCATGTGTGGTACTCGCCCAAGTAAACAGTTTTCACCCACTCAGGCCACTCCATTCGTCCGCTGTCGAAATTCCGCTGAATAACCACGCCCACTCCGCCCAAGTCGAGGGTGCCCTTGATGATGACGAAGACAATCCCTCCCACCATAATGACGGTTTGGATCACATCTGTCCAGACAACGGCCTTCAGACCCCCGGCAGTTGTGTAGAATATGCAGACGAGGCACACAATTGGCGTGATGACATGTATATTTATTCCAGTAACTGGAAAAGTGCACAAAAGTCAACACGTGGCAAGGGCCTTTAAGTTTCGGTCTTTAATATTTAAAGGGCCTGAAAAGTAACTCTTTTCTTACAAATTTTGATTATTTCTCAGCCTTCAGAAACACCCAATAGCTCTCTATTCGAAAAAGAAAGTATAATTTTCATTGTCAAGAACCCGTGCAAAAATTGAAGTTTAAATTAAGTAAATGGTTCCTCAACCTTTCACATACTCTTATTAATTTAAGTCTGGAGATAAATACTGCATTATTTTACATTTTAAGTTTTACTAGGGAGATAAAATCAATCAGAAATAACTTAATACCAAAAACAAAAACAAGCAAAAAATGTTTATTGTTAAGTACATATAAATCCAAAAAGTCAGCTTAGAATTAAATTGAATGAAAATTTTAGAGGACACCAATTAATCTATTATTTAAAATGTAATAATATTTTCAATATCAAAAACGATATTACAAATTATGTTAGTAGAACGAAAGTAGCTAAAAAATGCTCTATGATTTCTCATTGGGACTTTTAATCGAGTTCTCGTTCAGATTTACGCTGGAATACATGGACTTAGATCTGCGCGTGCAGGGCGAAAGCAATTCATCTTCCACGTCACCGCGTTCATTGCGGCCAAAGATAAAACCAGCCAGATGTCCGACTATCACACCCACTGTACCCCCCATAACCGTGTAGAACATGAAGGATATGTGGTAAAGCTGCTCGGCGAAACTGAGATTCCTGTAGGATTGTGATGAAAAGGAGGTGAAACAGTTACGAATGTCAAGGAAAACTTACGCAGATTCTTCACTCAGGAAGGTGGCATTGGCTGGAGTCACCAGAGAACGGTCGAACTCATAATCACAGCCGTCGATGCTGACCGGCTTTGTCTCGGAATAAATTTCCCCAGAGTTTATGGCAACTTGAGCCGAAAGACTTAGCCAGCCCATGAAGAAGAACGAAACAAGGGATCCCACAATGGCGCTCTTAAACGAAATAATCATTTTCATACCGTTCTTCCCATAGAATTTGTAAGCATCCAGCAAAAATACTTTTGAAAGAGCCAAGCTAAAAAGGCTTTTGATTTCAAATTCAAACATTGTGATTCTATACACAGATAGGGTATACAATCTTTATAAATTGATTTTACCAATGCCGTCATTAACAATGAGAATTTACGAGTACCCAATTTAGAATAGCTCTCCAAAAATGTTTTTTCTGTATGAAGGGACACTAACTTTTGAGTTGATGCTGGGGCAAAGCAGGCCCATAGAAAAGAGTGCCAGAAGCGGACCCTGGACCACTGAACCAATGGTAATGGCCAGCTGCATCACATGGGAGCCCATCCGTTCAACCACGAAAACCAGAGCCACACTTACGACCCCAATGATCACAGTGCAGACACGCATGGTGACAGCGGTTTGGTGCTCGGTGAGGGGTTTTTTCCTCAGGGGTCTAATGTAGTCCTCCAGGAAAACTGCGGCCAGTGAATTCATACCCGTAGACAGGGAACTGAGGGCGGCACTAAACACTCCGGCAACAAACATGCCGGGAACTCCGGGGAAAGAGGTCATGGATTGGACCACGAGCAGGGGAACCAACTGATCCTTAGCCGCTGCCAACTGCAATTTATTTCTCAATCAGACACAGGTCATTAATTTGCACCAGTAGAAAACAATCAAATTTTAAAGCTCATAATATTTTTTTAAACATGATGGATATTTATAATAAAGCTATTCTTGGAAGGTGAACTTTTACTTTGAGTTTAAATTTGATTGCCTTCCTTTTTTGCAGATAATGTTTTCCAACCTTTGTGGTCAATGGATCGCAGTCGAAGTAAGTTGCATAAAGAAGAAGACCGTTATAAATGCATAGTCCATATAAAAGGATCAATCCAAAAACGAAAATAAATGATGTATGAGCCATCTGTTTAACACCAGGAAGAGACATGTAGCGTTGGGTCATCATCTGATTGCAGCCGAATTGGTAAGTGTTGTGGCCAACACTGCCCACAACCAAGGCCAACATTGACATGCGAACTTTGGGATCGAACGTGAATCTGTTTTTGAAAATGCATTCAGATGTTATAAACAGTCAAGAGCTTAGCCCTCCAATTAGTTTTACGCACTCAGGCCACTCGATTCGTCCGCTGTCGAAATTCCTCTGAATAACCACGCCCAGACCGCCCACATCGTAGGTGCCCTTGATGATGACAAAGACCACCGCGCCTATCATAATGACGGTTTGGATCACATCTGTCCAGACAACGGCCTTCAGACCCCCGGCCGTTGTGTAGAATATGCAGACCAAGCAAACGATTGGCGTGATGATATGTATATTAATGCCAGTAACTGCAACAAAAGTCAACGCAGCGAAAAGGAATAAAAAATGAAATAGAAAGGCAAACGGTCAATCCCTCAATAATACAAAGGTTGCAAAACGAAAAGACTTAAAATTCCTTACAAATTCTCTAAATTCTTGATATATTACATTTAGAGAATTGTTAATGAGTTTTTAGTCTTTTTGTTTGATCGAGTTTCATTTTTATAATAATTTTAAAATAATGGCATAACATTAAAACACTATAACACTTAAAATTTGCTTAAAATAATTACACTATCATAAATATATTTAATTATCGAGGGTTCTTGACAATTAGTTTTTTTTCACAAAACGTTAATAAAATGTTGATTTAATTTTGAAGTCGCCTATACATTTAAAGCATTTTATTTCGATAAAACGTAGGAGCTTACCTTGATTAAAGGCTAAAGCTGGGACATAGATGACAATGGGCAGCCAAATTAGCTAGATAAAGAAATTACAAAATATTTTAGCAAGTATATATGTTTCTAAATAGTCATTCCTTCAAGAGCTAAAGGAATGAACTGTGTTTCTTAAAGCCAAATATTGGATTATACTTACATTTGCAACCGTGAAAAAGGCGGAGCCCAGCAGACGAACCGATTTGTTAAAGCGCAACTCGAAATACTGCAAATATTTTTTTTCCAAAGGTTTGTTGGCTTTCGGTTAACACACAATAAGAATTGCCCACACACCCACGACCACAACCTGTGACTGCGTAAGTGTGTGTTCGGCAACGCCACGCATACATAATCGACTATTACTCATACGACATGTAGCCAGCAACCACTTATAAACTACGACTATCCATATGCCAACTCGCACAATTGGTATTGTTCGAGCTTATTGCAGCCGGCATTGTATGCCAAAACCTAGAGGATACCTACGACATGCAAATAAACTGGCATTCAAGGAATTCTTACAGATGATTGCACCCTGTTTTTTCCCTTGTCTTGCTTTTAAAACAAACATGTACTCCCTGCTCGTTGTTTGGCTTAAACTTTACTTACACATTAACATGCCATCGAATATCAAAAGAATCCAAATTCGTACACTCAGAAACATAAAATTATTGCGTAACATGCTGTCCAAAAGGAAAACAAACACAACTCTCTAGGATTGGACAACGTTCAGCTTACCTCATAGGTGGATGTCAGCTGGAGATTGCAGAACACCGGCAGGAAAATGTACCACGAAATGGCTCCCGAGATGGCCAGGGTAACCAGGATAAAGGCGTACTGCGTCCCGTACACATAGATTTCCGTCGAAGTTCCCAGGAGCGAAATTCCGGACACAAAGCTGCAAGTTAAAAGTAATACAAGAAATTAATTTTCGCTAATTACGTCTGAAGCTTAAAGTTCAACAGGGCTAATTGCCAACCGATTGATCAGGATCTATTTTTGCCTCGCCAACATCTTGGTTTTTTTTTGCATCTCACAAAGTTAGCCTGGAGAAAATTTTGTAATTGAATTAAGTTAAGGCCACTCAAGTTGTTGGTCAAAGTTATTACGAAGGTGGGCAAACTGTTCGGAAATAAATTTATGGTAATCGATTGGAGATGACTTAAGACATTATTACACCTCAACGAATATCCCAAATATTTTTTCTTTAAATATATATTTTAACTTGGCAGTCAGCACTTTTTAAACACTAATTTTATGATATCGAAACTTTTATTTTAAATAATTTCAAAATGCAAAAAAAAAAATAAATAAAAGCCAATCTTATGTTCACACTTTAAAGTGGTTTTTCCATTACCTTAATTTAAATCCAATAAAAAAATGTCTAGCCAGATTTGGCAAAGCAAACTTTTCCTGGGTCCTGCATTTCGTAATCTGATTTAAATGATTAATGTCCATAACAATCATCATTTCAATTTTTGGCCACGAAACAAATGAATTGCCATCACAGACACAAAAATTTGACGGCGGTGAGAAAAATGCCATTAAAAGTTGATAACAAGCGGCGTTAAAGTACGCAGACACACACAGCAAACAATTTGTTTCGAAAAAATTGAAAAAAATCTGCAGGGAACAAAGGACATTTTGTAGGAAAAAAATGATGGCATGTAATTGAAATTCAAAGCACGTTGGCTGAATTTGTTGCAAAAAGCAAACGACAACAAATAGAATGCCATAACAATAAAAGGCTCACGAAACAATTGTCAGCAGGCGAGGCAAATGACCAAGACCGCGGCCAGGATTTCGGGGAACAGGACCTGTCGGCCTGGTCATTAATGCGAGGACAACACGGCTAAGACAAAGGGACCGCACCCTTCGAAAGGTGCTTGACCAAAACGTGTCAAATACAAGGCTTGTATCTCAGCAGGACCAAGGTCACTGGGCCGAACTCGGCAAAGAAAAAGTAATTTGGGCAAATTATTTGAGTTTGCGGCCAGGCGCAAGTTTAAATAACTTCAATCTGGCTTAGACACAGTGAGCTGTTAAGTTGTATTTATACGCAAGATATATTTACTTGCAAAGTTCCGCAAGCCATTTCAATATCAGCAGAATCTAAAAGCCCCGCCCCGAAACACCCATCTATAATAAGCTTGACCCTGACAATGAATATTGTTTACGCAATCCCCGCTCTTGAGTCGGAAACTTTTAAATAAAATGCTACACTGTTTGCCCCCGCCAAACAATTCGCCAGACAAAGGTGGACAGGGGCAGATTATCTTTTGCTTAGATTACGTATACGCACGTTTGGCTGATGGCACAGAATAATGCGAAATGACAGAAAATATTTGGATTGATTTGCCGGGGTGAGGTTAAGTCCATTACGATAATTTGTGCAAATATTAGCAGCATTCAAATTAATGCATCGTATTCAATTTTTTGGGATTATACCAGCTTAAAGCTGCTCAACAATAAATTTTCGAATTTCCTGCCTGCCACTTTTTCATTTAGAGCCCTCCGCCTCCTCTTGGGCCACGTCAAAAGTAATTAAGCAAGTCTACACTGAGAAACAACCTCACCAAAAAGCTATTTGCATGTATATATCTTTACAATAATTTTCTTTATATTTTTAATACTTAATGATTTGAAAACATGGAAAATACAAAAACGTTTAATTTTTAAAGTCCCTAAAAAATACTTCGTTTTTATGTTTTAGTTCTTTAAAAATAATTATTTTTTTATTTTTTAGTTCCAAACATCATAAATGGTTTTATTTAAAATGTTACATTTTACAATTTTAGCAGTAATAACAATATTCCTATAACAAAATAATGAGAACATCTGAGAGTACCCTAAGACAACTTATAAATTGTTCTAAACCTTTGTGAATAATAAACTTTCTAGAAAATAATAAAATAATAAAATAAAATTAGAGAGTAAGTATTGTAATAAAAAGTGTATAAATGTAATTACATTTATTCCCTTACTTTATAGATTCTAAATAATTTGCAAGAAAATAATAAAAGAATTTTTGAAAATTCTAGCATATGAAAGCAAACATAAAAAGAAACAGAAAACTGCACCTCCTTTTGTCTATAGGATTTTTCTGTTCTATTCAATTTTTTTCCATGCATATTTTGTTGGCCAGCAAAAAACACGAGATGCCAATTTACCATTTTGCATATACATAGCATCGTTGCCGAAACTGTAACTCACCTTGCCACAAGTGACAGCGCGACCGGAAACACTTTCATTTGGCGTCCACCCACCAGGTAGTCCAACGCCTCCGAGCCACGCCTCTCCTCGACGCCCGCCGCCCCCCTCCATCCTTGTCGGCCAGCTTCTGCTTCTTCTGCTTCTTTTCGATAAAGCCGAAATAGAAGCCGATAACGGCGCAAACCGCCAACATGGCGATGAAGACCATGTAATCAACAATGCCGAAATGCTGCAGGGCCTGGCTCAAATCCTTCACGCTGAGTTTCTCCTCTCCAGCATTTTCCAAAGTGGGGGATGATGATTGGATGGGAGTGGGCGTGGGCGTGGAGGTGGAGGTGGTCGAGGAGGAGAAAGTGGGTGTGGGTGTGGAGGTGGCGCCAGTTGTGGAGCTACTAGAGACCGTACTGCTAATTACGGCCACTGTCTTGGCAATCGCATTGGCCACCGTTGTGGTGGTTTTGACCACCAAGGCCTCCTCCACGGGGGACTTTACCCCCAAAGCCACGGGATCGGCAGTGGTTGACATTATTTCCGGGACCGCAAGTTGCTTTTATGTAGTTTATTTTTATTGACTTCCAGCCGCGTCGCTTTAATGCATTCGACTTTGATTACTTTCGCATTAGTTTAACACCGCACACGCACTGTGAATTGGATTCGATTTTGCATTAAGAATTTTTTCTGAGTTCCTAATGAAAGGCCAATAACGATTTCAAAGGGTTTCTCTCAAAAAATCTAATCACTTGAATAATCCTATAAAGTCCTTATATTTTTTTGATAAAAGGCAGTATAGACACTTATTTCACAAGTTTCCGATATACATTTTTAATAATTTTTAAATAAACCAAAACATTTACGTTAAAGAATTAGTTTTTAATAAATAAGAAAAACTTCTCATTTAATAGATTAATTATTGATTTCTTATCATTGCTATCAACCAAATTAAAAAGTTAATTCTAAGGTATGAAAAAAATTAATTTAAAAAATACATTTTTGTCAGAAATTAATCACTTTATTATTTGAAAATAAATTGATAAGGTTTAAAAATTTTGCTATATAAATTAGAACACAAAAAAGTAAAAACCGTGCATTTAACTTGGCTACAGAATAAATTTTGCTCTCTAAAACTTGTGTACCGATAAATTTAAATTTTTTTCACAAATAAAATATTTTTAAAATTAGAATCACCGCAAACGAAAATAAATAGATCTTGATTGGTATAATTTTAAAACGATTTTAGACACACACGCTTATTAGAACCTTGAGTTTCGGATTCAGGATAATTAAATTTGATTTGGAAGCGAGCTCACACAAGTGTATGATCCAAATCTCCACCGAGCACTGAACTAATTTTCCGCCGCAAGCTGCGTTAGAGATCTCCGGAGATCTCTTATCCAAGTCCGGCGACAAAGCATCAGCATCATCAGAGCGGACGATCGTAATTCACGCAAATCTTGTAAGATTGTAGGCAGAGGCTTTGTGTAAAGCTTTATCGCCTAAATTGCCAGGGGCATGTCGGATCTAAAATCATAAGTCCGCACCCCTTATTCAGGGTGTGATTGTGTGTATCTTCACCTAGCCCCAGATCTAGCAGATAGTAAATTACTTTCTTTGTACGCAGACGTGTCTTGTCAGCTGCTTTATTGCCCCTCTGGGATGCTATATATAAAAATGCATAGCCCTCGCGATATTTCTATTTTTTTTCAAATAACTTTTACAACTTCAAAAATGGGTAAATTTCCACTACAATAGCAAAGATCTGACTCGAACAAGCTGCTACTGGTTTTAATAACAATTAAATTGTGGTGAGAGCCTGACCTTACAGATAATAAGGTAACCATTCCACAAAGTGTAAGTCAACACAATTTACCAAAGTTCTCGGTCAAGTTTAAGACGTGTCGTATGCGTGATGTACATGGGCTTTCCTTGAATATAATTAAAAACAAGAGAGAACGCTATAGTCGGGTGCCCCGACTATCAGATACCCGTTACTCACGTAAAGGGAGTGCGAGGGAGATGGAGATAGAAACTTTGATCACGCATAACTTTTTAACGAATGGTCCGATTTGAAAAATTTCTTCTACATTTCGATAGGTATTGATAAACACAATAAAACTGCATTTTTACTTTTCCGAAATATTTAAATTTTTAAAATCGTATATAAGCGATTGTGGGCGTTAAAGGGGCGTGGCACCTTTTGAAACAAACTTGCGCTGCGTAGGAACACCTAGAATCTGCATGCAAAATGCCAATCTTCAGCTTTTATAGTTTCCGAGATCTCAGCGTTCATACGGACAGACAGACAGACAGACGGACAGACAGACGGACAGACGGACAGACGGACAGACGGACAGACGGACAGACGGACATGGCTATATCGACTCGGCTAGTGACCCTGATCAAGAATATATATACTTTATAGGGTCGGAAACGCTTCCTTCTAGCTGTTACATACTTTTGCACGAATACAATATACCCTTTTACTCTACGAGTAACGGGTATAATTAAAGCGCGTTAATCGCTGCTCTGCCGAATTTCGTCATGGCGGGCATCCGTTTCACAGCAATTCGCATTTTTCCTCGGATGCGACACAAATTGAATGACCATCCAATCGAATTAAAGTTCAACCCAATAAAGCTAAGCTTAGTGTCAAAAATATCGAAAGCCTAATAAAAGAAAAAACCCGTCAGTTTTATTGGATTAAATGCACATTAATGGGCTCACAATGGCAATGAATTCATCTCTTAAATTGTTCTTCAATTAAGGTAGCTTAAAATAATCAACAGCACTTGCAGAGGGACTTCCTTTATAATCCCAACCATGTTGCGATGGCATAAATTTATAGCATTAATAGCCAGCACACCAACTAATTGATTTTTGACAATCAATTACGGCAATTACTTACGTCTGTTGCAGGCTTCAATGGAGGAGGTAAATTCAATTTGCGGAAACCTACAAAACACACACCACGTGACTTCGGCTTTTGGGTAATCTTTTACCTAGCTAATCCCTTGTGAGCAAGGACAGCCTTTAAATAGTGAAAGGAGCAGAAGAGAATGACTTTATTATTATGAGTACAAGAAGGACAGTTGAAAACGTGTGTAAAAAACACGATACAAATAAAGACATACATTTCTTATTTGGGCATTTCTTATTTATGTATCAGATTCTGTAAGGTTCAATTTATTGAATCACCTTGTAATAATTATTACATGTCTTGTTCTCTTTGTTTTGAGATACGCAAACCAAGGTATACTAAAGTGATATTTTATTTATTTCTGAAATGAAATATTAACTTGCCTAATTCTCTGGAAATAACCCTTTTTTGTACAACACTTCTAAATATATGTAAAAATTGTATTTGCTCTTTATATAATACAATAAATAGAATAAAATATATTTTTAAACTCCGAAATGGGACTTTCCATTCCAAAGCGCCCCTGTTTTATAAATAGTCTTTATCAGCTTTTAGATACCAATGGAAATCCCTTTTTAAACAAAAGAAACCGACGGGAATGATATTTAATTAGATTTCACGGTGTGACGCACCTTTCTAATATAATATTATAGAAAATTTTAAAATTTAAACGGGACATGCTCTTCCAAATCTACGCCATCAAATAAATAGTTGCAATCGGCCCAGACCAGAGGAAATCCCAGTGTAAGCAAATGAAAATTACACCACCTACAAAAATGATAAACATGTAACAATTGTCATAAACTAAAGATAACATCATTTTTAAATAGGCGTGTGTACCGTACTTATGCGAGCCATTAAAAAGCTGAACTAACTAATAGATAGCGGCCAGTAGTCACCGCAAAATAAAACCAGGGCACTATAAATATGGTGCCGGAAAATAAAACAAAAAGAAATACACACGCCACAAAGTGCTACAAAATTTAATTATTTTTATGCGACGAGCAAAATAAAAACCAGGAGAAAATGAAAAACCGAGCTTAGCATATGCAAAATAATGGCCAAGACCGGCAACGGCAACAGCACTTGACCCTTTTGGCTGGGCTTAATTTGTCTGGGAACCGCAACTGTTTTGGCCTTATGACTTGGCGCCCAAACCAGCCTGTTTAAATCTAGGAAAAGTCCTCGACCACTCACCTTTAACATCCCTTTTGAAGCCAGCCAAGTGTTTGTGCAGCTAGTGTTTTGAAATTTTCCCATTTCCGTCTGCAACTGCAGCTCCATTTGCTCAAAGCGCCGTGCAGTTGCCTTGACTTTGGCACCATTCAGCTATTCCTGTGTGCTTTCCTTTTTTATACCTTATATTTCAAAAATACAAGAGCATATTAAACTTTAAGCTCATTGGAGAAATCGGTAGGATAAAGTTTATAACGAAAGTGTTTGTGTAAGACTGTTTCCATATTATTTGCTTTAATACATTTTCTTAATTCAGAAAACACGGACTAGTATTTAAAAATAAAAAATATATATTATATTTAATCTGACTTCGCCGTTAATAGATTATATCTTGTTAACAAATACGATAACATTTGAAATAATATTTATATTTTAATATATAGTGGGTATCCATAGTCGCGTCACTCGACTTCAAATATCTTTATAGTTTTGTGTATGTTTTGGGTTGTGCACACTTGAGCCAATTTAACGCTTCCGTGTGTTTTTTACTTGCCACGCCTCGTTGAACGCACTGGAAAAGTTTTTGGCCGGAGGCCTGGGGGGAAGAATGATTTAATTTCTACCTAAAAACCGAAAACACAATCCCTAAATTAGAGCTCAGCCATGTACACTTCAATTAATCTAGTTAAGTAATCTCAGGCGTATTTCTTCGCCGGCAGAACTATTCAGGACCATTGATTACGCGGCCCACAAATTAAGACCAATTAAATCAAATCCGGATTGCGTCGGAGTATCCACACGCCCACGATAATAGAGACCTTGAACTTGGCAACATACAACGACCATTAGCCAGAAGACAGACTCTCTAATATCTTACTCTGCCTTTTTTACATATCCACCCGGAGGCATTTATGCTCAGACACAAGCCCAGAAATCGACTTGGCCCTTCGGGGAGTTGCGATGATGCCAAGAACCATGAAATGGGAATAAAAAGCTTGAATATGCATTATTCCTTCAACTGGCCGGTCATCAACTGGCAATCAGAATTTGCTCGAGTGGAAAAATCAAATGTATTTCCATGTCTGAATGTGAGAAGGGGGCAAGAAAGATTGAAAATTGGTTGCCAATCCCAAACCAAAAGTTCGCTAAGCGTTTGAGTAAATATCTTATCTTCAAAACTTTGTTCCTATCTATATTTAAACATAGCCAAGTTCATTTTTTTTTGTCTAGAATATTTATCGGGTAAAGTTTTGGGTACAAGCAGAGTAAGATAAATCTGTATTTGTTAATTTCTATTCAATTCCATTTCAATACCGAAACAAATGTAAGAAATTGGTCTTTCCAAAGCATAAGTATTTGCTATATTCGTTATATCTGTTGTTTTGTTCGCAAAATATTTAATATAAATCAGTTTCAGTTTTTATTCTCTATGTAAATAAGTTCGATTAAGTTTAAATAGCTAATCGGCTAACTTAAAATAAGTCCAGCTACCACACGTATAATATGTCTCCAAGATAAGAAACAAACTTTTAATCACGTTGATCCGTTATTTAACTCGTATTCCTCCATTATGGCAATTACTGGCTCATTGACATATTTGCGGACCTCCCAATTCAGGGCGAAGTCCCCATGATTCCACTCCGGATCCTCCATGAAGTGCATCACCTTATTGGGAAGTCGCTTGGCTAGGGCCTCCACATCCTCCACAGCGGCCAAGTCATCGCTCTCTGCGTACCACAAGTGCACTAGGGAATTTATTTGCTCCACAGGATACTCTGGAGGTTCTTCAGATCCGTATACCTCCAGGTTCTTCTTGGTGCCATGGTCAAATTGACGAAAGTAGCCCGATTGCTGCTCCTGCAGGTAATGCAGCATTTGATCCGTGGAACAGCCCGCAGGGTGGGTGGCCATGGCTTCCGGCATAGCGGTCTAATTAATAAATAAAATAATATTAATATTACATTTTTAAAAATATCTTTTAAGAGTAAACCCACCATGTTGACACGACCGCCGGAATAAAGTGTCTTCATGGCACTTTCGCACACCGGACGCAGCACAACATCGGGCTGACAGATATTGAAGAACAGGGCCATAACGAACTCATTATGAGGCAAGAACTCCTGAGATCCAAAAATGGTCGAATACGCGTTTTTGTGCCCCAAATAGGGACCCAAGTAACGCACCAATCGGCTGGACAAGTTCTTCATGATTGCCACCGGGGCAAACAAGTGAGCGGTCTTGATTTTGTCATTATATTCCGGTAGCCAGGACATCAGTGCAAAGAAGACCGTAGTGCCCTGCGAATGACCCACATAGTGGATGGCCTCCTGTCCCCTGCCATTTTCCGTATTTAGGGCATAATCAATAATGGCGGTAATATCGTAAATAGCAATCTCATGCCAACTGAATTTCCAGAAGGATGGGTGATCCGGAGAGAGTTTCGTGTGGTTTCTGGAATAGGAAGTGCCTCGGGCATTGCCCATCCACACATCGTAGCCAGCGTCGGCCAGCAAATATGGCAGACTATCATTTGGACCCTGCAAAATCCACGCATCTGAGCAGCTAGTCAAGCCATGCTGAAGGAACACAATGGGCCGTTTTTCATTCTGGTTCTGCAACTTGTGGGAGTAGGGAATACGGAATACTCCCAGGATATAACCATCTGCGGTGAGGATGTGGTGGTGCTCCGAAGGATATCCATGCAAGGCAGTACGATCGGCCTGTGATAATATTCATTAACAATTGTTTTATTGTTTTTCACTTCAATTCATTTAACTACAACTAATTTATAAGTTAATTGGAGTATCTTGCAAATAACTTTAACTTTTTTTTAAATTTTGAATGATAATAAACATAGTTATAAATACCGAGAAATCTATAAAAAAGTTTATCCTTAATTTTTTTTTTACATTTTCTAAAAATTTCAACTTTTTTAAAAATTGTATCCACACGAATTTTTACTTCGAGCCTTACCGTTGTTGCTTTATTCTTGAGGCTAACGTGAGCCTCGGGCTGACAGATATTGAAAAACAAAGCCATAACGAACTCATTATGAGGCAAGAACTCCTGAGATCCAAAAATGGTCGAATACGCGTTTTTGTGCCCCAAATAGGGACCCAAGTAACGCACCAATGGGCTGGACAAGTTCTTCATGATTGCCACCGGGGCAAACAAATGAGCGGTCTTGATTTTGTCATTATATTCCGGTAGCCAGGACATCAGTGCAAAGAAGACAGTAGTGCCCTGCGAATGACCCACATAGTGGATGGCCTCCTGTCCCCTGCCATTTTCCGTATTTAGGGCATAATCAATAATGGCGGTAATATCGTAAAGAGCAATCTCATGCCAACTGAATTTCCAGAAGGATGGGTGATCTGGAGAGAGTTTCGTGTGGTTTCTGGAATAGGAAGTACCTCGGGCATTGCCCATCCACACATCGTAGCCAGCGTCGGCCAGCAAATATGGCAGACTATCATTAGGACCCTGCAAAATCCACGCATCTGAGCAGCTAGTCAAGCCATGCTGAAGGAACACAATGGGCCGTTTTTCATTCTGGTTCTGCAACTTGTGGGAGTAGGGAATACGGAATACTCCCAGGATATAACCATCTGCGGTGAGGATGTGGTGGTGCTCCGAAGGATATCCATGCAAGGCAGTACGATCGGCCTGTGATAATATTCATTAACAACCATTTTCATTTATAATATAGATATTATTGTTTTTCTCTTTAATCCATTTAACTATAACTAATTTATAAGTTAATTGTAGTCATTTGAAAATAACTTAAACTTTTTTAAAATTTTGAATAATAATAAACAGAGTTATATGTACCGAAAAATCTATAAATAAGTTTATCCTTAATTTTTTTTTACATTTTCTAAAAATTTCAACTTTTTTAAAAATGGTATCCCTACGAATTTTTACTTCGAGCCTTACCGTTGTTGCTTTATTCTTGAGGCTAACGTGAGCCTCTGGATTATCGTAGAGCTTGTAGAAATCAATGGATCCTTCTATGGCCGCGGAATAAGTTCCTAAGGCCAGAGCAGCCAGGATCAGCAAACTACCCGCAAATCGGTACATTGTACTTAAGTGTCCGACGGTCTGATGCCAACTGACTGCTGGCAAACACATGACTTTCGGCTTTGGTAGAATGGTTTAGTTTCAAGTAGCTTTTACTATCGGTGGTTCGATTATATATATTTAGACTGTCAAGATAATATATAAAATAAATAAAAAGTGGCTGTTTAGAAGTTATAAGATTTGGATTAATAGATTAATACCCGTTTTTGTCTTAAGAAAAAGCTAAGAGTACGTTTTAGACTAAAACAATAACAACGGGTAAATTGTTTTTATTATAAATTTCAATCACTAAAAACTACTATTTCTACAGATTTTATAAAAAGTGTAATAGACTGATAAATTTCGTAGCCCATTCAATTCTACTTTACCTTTTAAAATCTCAGCTAATCATGTTTAATGGTTTTCCCCAGTTTAACGCACGTTTAATTTACTATATAAAAACCGATAGCCGAACTAAAACCGTTATTTGCAGTACTTTAATGAGGGTAACTTATCAGTTATTAAAGACACTTGAAAAACAGTCGAGCTAATCTCAAGAAAAAGTTTACCCCCATCGACCGTTATAGATTATAAAGCCATTTTTAGATTTAAAGAGCGGTAGTTGTATAATTTATGACCTCTACTTGTATATGGGAAAATAGTTTTTGCAAACAAAAGTCGGCAAAGATCTTATGAGTTAAATATGCATATGGTGGAAGTTAAGTGTTGTTCAATTATGGAATGTGACTCTTTGCATCCTTTGCTTCCGTTAATGATAAGATATGATTGGGACTTGTTCAGATTAACAAAATTATGAGCTAAATACGTTGAATTATCTCTAAGCTATTCTAATCGAGTGAACTCTGTTCGGATCACTTCCCCTCGAAATCGTTCAGGATGGCTATAATCGGATCACTGATGTACTGTCGTACCTCCCAGTTGTAGGCAAAGTCCATATGATCCCACAGTGGATCCTCCATATGGTGCATCACCTTGTTGGGCAAAGTTTCCGCCACCCTTAGAACATCCTCAACTGCAGACATGTCATCGTTATCCGAATACCACAGGTGCATTTCAGTTGTAATCAGCTCAGTTGGATAATCGGGCGGGGTTTCGGTTCCATACATCTTTAGATTCTTTTTGGTTCCAAAGTCGAACAGACGGAAATGTCCAGATTGATGTTCTTGCAGATAATGTAGAATTTGATCTGTGGAGACACCAGCGGGCATCGAACCAGACGTCAAGGAACTGGCGGTCTTCAAGAAAAAATTAAATAAGTAAAAATGTTAAATTAAAGAAAATGGTTTACACAAACCGAATTGGTTCGCCCCTGTTCAACAGTGGTTTCATTACTGGTGCTGCAAAAGCTGGAAACAATCGATCCCGGAAGACAAACACTATACATTAGTGCAAGGACGAAATCATTATGGGGCAGAAACTCCTGTGAGCAGAAAACCGTGGAGTATGCATTGTTGAAGCCTAGATAAGGAGACAAGGAATTGACCAGAACATTCTCCATGTGATCCATAAAGGCCACCGGAGCCAGCATATGGGCCGTCTTGATCTTCTTGTTATATTCCGGTCGAGAAGACATCAGGACAAACATAACCGTGGTGCCCTGTGAGTGACCCACATAGTGGATGCCCTCCTGACCCTCTCCATTCTCCGTGGACAAAGTGTAATCGATGGCAGCGGCGATGTCATAGTATCCAATCTCGTGCCAACTGAAGCGCCAGAAGCTCGGATGCTTTGTGGAGAGGGAAGTGTGGTTCCTGGAGTACCTGTTCCCCCGAGCGTTGCCCATCCAAACATCGTATCCAGCATCAGAGAGCAGGAAGGGAAGACCATCATCCGGTCCCAAAGCTGGCCAAAAATCGGAGCTGGCAAAGAGACCATGCTGTATGAATACGATAGGCTTCTTTTCATCCTGGTTCTTCAGGTTATGTGAGTATGGAATGCGGAAGAGACTGACGATATAGTCATCTTCAGTCGTTACATAATGTCGCTCTGCTGGATAACCATGATCTTCGATAAAATGAATCTGAAAACAAACAATTGTATGAAAAATAAGATTTGATAATCAAGAACGACTCATTCAAAATGTAATTACTTACGGTGTCGGGAGCATTAGCCAAAGACAGATGTGCATCGGGATTGTTAAACAAATTATAGAAGTTGGTGACCCCTAAAGGATCATTAGAAAGAGGAGCACCTTGGGCAATTGTACCCAGGAAAATCCCCACCAAGGTAGCGGCGACACCAATGTGAAATCTTGACATTTTACCACTGAACTAAAGCGAAAATTCAGAGATCCAGATGCTTATAAGGACTAACGAGGGGCACTTGAGTAAAAAGCAATTTTGATACGAATCGATCAGTCCAATTAGCCAATTAAAAGGCTATAAAGATAAGTGGTGAGAGTGTCATAAACTTCCTCACATACAAGCACCGTGGAATATTATTACCAAAGCTAGAGCAAATAATCAAATATTCCCGCATGGATATTTTGGATTTCCCATCAAAGAATTAATGATTTTATTTTCGTTATATGTCGAAGGCTGGCTGATTGCGCCTTAAACTAAATACACTGACACACATGTTGCTGTTACCAAGTATGGTGTATACCTATACTTTGTTGCGTTGAAAACATCATTACAGCTAATTTAGAAAATAAATAAAATTATTTAATTTATTTGTATACCATTATTAATACAAAATATTTAAGTGTAGAAAAAAGAAGGAAGGCATGCCAAAATTTTGTATGTAAAAGAGCTTGATATTTTATCGAAATTTCTGTAATTGTTCTAATATTTATGGTAATACACTTCTAATTATGCCTGAGTGAAAGACATTTGGCGATATTCCCACCTCTTGAGTTTATTTCCGTTTATTGGTTCAGTTGGCTGATCGGTTCTTATCAGAATGAGCATTGTGATCGAGTACCTGGTGGCAGTCTTTATAAGGGCCTGTTTCTCGGAATTCGCATTAGTTCAGTGGCAAAATGTCTAGATTTCACATCGGTGTCTGTGCTACCTTGCTGGGCATTTTCCTGGGCACAATTGTTGAAGGTGCTCCTTTTTCAAGCGATCCTGCAGAGGTCACCGACTTTTATCAGTTGTTTAATAATCCCGATGCACATTTGTCTTTAACTGATGGCCCTGACACCGTAAGTTTGGCTACTTAAATACAAATTCGTATTTAGGAAGGAGGGTTATGAAAACATATAAGTTTCTTGATCATCCAAATTAAATTTTCATTAATTCCAATTAAAGATTTATTTAATCGAAGAGCATGGTTACCCAGCGGAGCGCCACTATGTTAAGACTGAAGACGACTATATAATCAGCCTCTTCCGCATTCCATACTCTCATAACCTGCAGAACCAGGCGGAAAAGAGACCCATTGCCTTTATACAGCACGGCCTCTTTGGCAGCTCTGATGGTTGGCCAGTCTTGGGACCTGATGATGGTCTTCCCTTCTTGCTTTCCGATGCTGGATACGATGTTTGGATGGGCAACGCTCGAGGAAACAGGTACTCCAGGAACCACACCTCCCTCTCCACAAAACATCCGAGCTTCTGGCGCTTCAGTTGGCACGAAATTGGATACTATGACATCGCCGCTGCCATCGATTACACCTTGTCAACGGAGAATGGAGAGGGTCAGGAGGGCATCCACTATGTGGGTCACTCACAGGGCACCACGGTTATGTTTGTCCTGATGTCTTCCCGACCGGAATATAACAAGAAGATCAAGACGGCCCATATGCTGGCTCCGGTGGCCTTTATGGATCACATGGATGACTTCATGGTCAATTCACTGTCCCCTTATCTAGGGTTCCACAATGCATACTCCACGCTTTTCTGCTCACAGGAGTTTTTGCCACACAACGATTTCGTTCTTGCTCTTATGTATAGTGTTTGTCTTCCGGGATCGATTGTTTCCAGCTTTTGCAGCGCCAGTGATGAAACCACTGTTGACCAGGGGAGAACCAATTCGGTTTGTGAGCACCAGATCCTTTATTTTGTATTATTACTAATTTAATTGTTTCCTAAAGACCTCAGATGCCCTGTTAAGTGGCTTGATGCCCGCTGGTGTCTCCACGGATCAAATCCTACACTACATGCAAGAGCATCAATCAGCACATTTCCGGCAGTTTGATTTTGGAACCAAAAAGAATCTAAAGATATATGGTAACGAAAGCCCGCCCGATTATCCAACTGAGCTGATTACAACTGAAATGCACCTGTGGTATTCGGATAACGATGAAATGGCTGCTGTGGAGGATGTCTTGAGAGTAGCGGAAACTCTGTCCAACAAGGTGATGCACCATATGGAGGATCCACTGTGGGATCACGGAGACTTTGCTAACAATTGGGAAGTACGTCAGTACATCAACGATCCAATCATAGCCATCATGAACGAGTACGAGACGAAGTGATAAGAACAGAGTCCAACTTTATTAATAATTGTAGTTCCTAACTCATCATAATTTATAATGAAGTAAATCCGAACAAATCAGACCATATCTTATCATTAACGGATGCAGTTTCGACATCCACAAGTAGTAACACTTCATTGCTGAACACCGTGTATCAGATTTGTTCTTTACTGGACACTCACTTCATCTATATGCATATCACATTCATAGATCTTAGCCGACTTTTGTAATCAAAAAGCAATTTCCCAAGTACAAGAAGAGGGCATAAAATATATTGCTACCCCTTGTTGAACCTATAAATGGCTTAATAATCTAAAACAGCGCTGTCGATGGGTTAAATTTTTTCCTACGATTATCAAATTTGTTGTTCAAGTGCCTTAAATAGGTGATAAGTTAAGCGCTTCTGATAATTGCGATTGGTTTTTGGAACCAATGGGCTATTTTTCGGAAACCCCAATTAGCTTTTTGACACGCGAACCACTTGTATATGATCAACTGAGATTTTACATATGGTCAACAAAAATAAATACAATTTTTATTTTAAATAAATAATTATTAATTGGACTTAATATATTTTTCTTTAGGTTCTTATAAATTATTTTGTAACTCAAATTGGCGAAACGACGGCGGAATTGAAATTCTTTAATCTTAACACCGCACACGTGCCGGAATGTTTTTCATTTGGTGATCTTCGCCGATCTTCAGGACAGCCACCATTCCTTGAACAGCATGTGCTTCAACATGGCAATGATATAGCCAAAATCCAGGATTGTTCGAGATGAAGCGGACGATAATGTATCCTAGACCCGGAATCTGTACAGTATCTTTGGCCACGGCTGAGGTGTCATCCGATAAACGAGACAGACGTCCTCTGCGATCCAGTTCCCGGATCTGTAAGGATATAAATAAAGATTATTTTTACAATTCATAACGAAAATAATTTCTTCACCAAATTTTAATTTGGATGAAGAGGCTTGGCTTTAACCCATTCGAAATTTTTAATTAGTTTAAGCCACTCACATTGCGCAGATCGTTGAGATTTCCCAGGACACCTTGGCCCACCAGTCGGAATGTGTAGCCGTGTATGTGGAAGGGATGTGTGCTGTCCAGATAGTTGGCCACAACCATTTCCAGCGGTCGATAGGCTGGAAGTCGCATCACATGGACACACTCACAAAGCTCCCTTTCACAATTACGCCCCGCCGCAGCCAGTGAGCTCTTATTGCAGAAATATCCGTCGTCCTGGTAAAGATGTCTGCCCTGCAGCAAGGATATTCCCGGGGAATTATATGAAACATCGTCGATCTGGAAAAGCAGCTCTCCGTTTTGCGCAGTTCGAGAACCGAAGCTAGAGTAATGGGTCAGGAATTGGGTGTAGCGATTCCAGGGCACTGCTTCCACCGATCGCAGGGCCACAGTGCCCACATTGTAATCCTTATCCAACGACTGTCGAAGGGAGGATACTTCCGAGGAGTTCGCAAGCTTATAGCGGAAATCATTGACCAATACCAGATCTTCTTTTGCTGACCTACTCCTTTGCCTATCCAGGATATTACCTTGCGGCAGTTCAGCGCGAGCTGTCCCTCGATAGCTAAGTACTGCTCCTTGGTAAAGATTGCGACCCTCGCACTGCTCATAGCCCCGAACCCTGATCCAATAGTTCTTGGCGTACTGGTTGGCCTCCAAAACGAAATCAAATCGCTCCGCGGAAGTCAGGAAGAAGCCATCGGCCAGAACGGGTTCTATGTCATTACCATCGGTGCTGATGATCAATAGCTTGTGCTGTTCGATGGAGAACTCCACGGGACAGTTGGATATACCATTCAGGACAACTCTCATTCTGTAGCGATAGCCAGGCGTAATCCTAAGCCTTTCATAACGATGTCGGTTATCATTGTCTGGCAGCTGGCTGAGATGATTGCGACCCTTTCCATTTACTAGGATATTGCGCACGTCCTGCAGGTTGTATTCGTAGAAGATATCCTGGATCATTAGGGTGTGCTCCACTAGATCGTAGTCGTAGAGCTGAGAGTGCTGATTCTCCTGCCGAGTTTGGCGAACTATCAAGGCACCAGCAATTCCAAATCCTCGCTGCCAACCCACATGGCTGTGATACCACTGCGAACCACTTCGATCCACTTGGAATTCATAGCGCTGCACTTCACCAGGTTGTAATGGATATTGGGTGGTGAATGGAGCTCCATCCATTTCCGGAGTTCGACGCATGTGAATGCCATGCCAGTGCATCGTTGTGGGCTCACCCAGGTAATTCAAGACGTCCACCACCACTGTATCGTTTTCGCAGAGCTCTATGGGAGGTCCTGGAACCATGCGATTAACAGCCATCACTGGATTGGCCACTCCATCGGCAAAGATGCAGTGTTCCGTGGCGCAGGCTCTCTCATCGAACTGACATCTCTGGCATTCCGGTCCAAGTCTTTGGTAATTGTGAACGACCAGTTGGTAGTAGCAGTTCTGCGACTGCCCCTGCTGGCAAACCCTTCTGCAGGGATGGCGGTCAAAGTCCCCGAAGTTGGCCAATTCCATATGGCTATAGTCATTTTTTAAGTCCAAAGAGGGCGTACCCTTGGTGGTTTTATTGCGCATCCAGCCAAACGAGGGCCATTCGAACTTGGCCTGCGGGAAATCCTTGCTTAAGGACTCTGAATGAACCTGGTCAAGGACCACAATCAGAAGCACTATCAGCACCTTGCTGGAAAAACTTTTACTTTCGCGTTTAGACATCGCGAACCGCAACGGGCAACTGGCCACTTAATTCGCGGGCAGCCCACGAAGAAAGTTTTGGCCCATTGGGCGACCCAGACCTTTGCGCATGCGCCGCACGTAATGGCCATTAAAGCTGAGCTGAATTTGATAAGCTCGAAATTATTGAAACACCGGGAACGGAATGGAACGTGGAACATCCATCGGTGATAGCGATCAAAATGTAGTTAAAATATAATGGGAATTTAAAGTACCTAATATGCCGTTAAATGTAGCTTAGATTTTCAGATTAAATACATCTGTTAAAATTAGGTCACTGATCATTAATGAGAATAATTATGACTATTTGTGGCATAAAATCTGAACTTAAATTCCCTAAAACCCGAAAAATTATCTATAATGTTACTTTTTTGTTTAAAAAATAAATGGAAACATGGAAATAAGGTAAGGTATATTAAAAATACATAGTACCAACAAGTTAATCATCCCATTTCTAAGGCAGTTTAACTGAAACAAATCTTTTGGGGGACTGATCCTTGTCAATTATCAAAATCCGTACTAAGTTACAAAAGAGTTTTTATTAAGATTAATGTTAAAATAGATCTCAAATCTCGGCATTCTCCATAGCAGGTGCTGCAGATGCTGCAGTTGTCATACCTGACGAACTGACTGATGTGCTCATAAGACTAATAACTCCACAGGCAATTGCAGGGCCCACAGAGTTTTCCTCGTTCTGATATGCCAAGGGATTTGGCATTATTTGGAGGGAGGACGAAAACACCTCCGCATTCAGGGCCGTGTTCAGATCGATTGCCTTGCTGTGAATCACAATGGACCGTCCAACGATTCCATTAATGCCAAATAGTTGGAGGTAAATGCTCTGGAAAACAGCCGAGATACTGCCATCATCTTTGGTGTCCACATTACCGAGCTATAGACATCGAGAAATCATTTATGTATCAAATGTAAGATTTTTTATAGTGAGAGGACTTACGAAGTTATTGGGAAACTGCCCACCGGTGGACTTGCAAACATCGCTCAGATCGCCGAAGGTGTGGATGTGCAAAGCATGTTTACCAGGTGGAAGTCCCGTCACATTGATCGTCACCTTGATGTCCGAGTTGTATGGGAGCTGAATAAAGGATATCATGCCGGCCACGCTCGCTCCTTCTCCATCGCCCACCAACTTAGCACCCGCCTGCCATTGGGGCACCAACTGCTGGAAGAATCGGGGTGGGTTAATAAAAAAACCAGAAGGAGCAATCCAAAAATAGTGGTTAAGGAAAATAAGTGGGAAAACAAGAAATATGCAAATGTTAATGTCTAATGAACTACACTCAACAAAAGCTTTACTAATAGTTTATCAATCTAACGTGACTTGAAGTTATCCACAAACAAAGTAATTTTAGTAACTGAACCAACCAAAAGTCCGTTACTCTTTGAACATTTTACGGAAAAATGGATTATTCATTGAAATACGCTCCATAACAATTAAGTAATAAGTATTATTAACAACCACCACATCAAATCCTCTCCATAATAATAGTGAAATATACTATCAAATCAGCTAATATAATAACAAATTACTATTTAAATAGAATGGGTCTGATCATTTTAATAAAATGAAATGAATTGTGTTTTCAAGATCAAACTGATTACACTTTAAATGGATCTTTGAAAAATGTATCATATCATTCTCAATTAGAATTTGATATCATTAAATAATTAAATACAATGTTTGAATAGGGGAAATACAATTCTTTTCATTAGAAAAAATTGTAGTTCCACAGTTGGGACATTGTGGGAAACCATCACACAAAAGAAATAATGTATAGCTGGCTAAATGACTATGTAATTTAAAAATTAGTGTGTAAAGCGACAGTAAAAAGCCAATTAAAGAGAAAATTAAAATGTTAAATACTCACATAGGTATACCCCAAGTACGAAGGTTGTGGTGGGAGCAGGGGTCCCAGAAGTCCTGCAGCTCCTGGGATTCCCACAGGACCTCCGAGCGGCACGGTTAGGCGTTCGTACCGCTTCACTTTGGTGCCGGAAACCACTTTGATTCCATCATCGAAGCGAGTCATATTCACCGGTCGCAGTCGATCCAGCAGATTTTGTGCACTGCCAGGCGCAAAAATGCCACCATAGCCAATTACCAACGCCAGAAGTAACTTAATGAGCATTTTAAGCCTACTTTATTTTACTCAAGTACGGAGAATGATCGACCTGTCGGACAGAGGGCTTCGGTTGAACTGATCCAAGCGCCCAGCACGGCTCATCCATGATGACTTCGACATGGTTTTCACGCTGATTGACCACGTTAATTGTGGCCGTCGCTGTGGCCCGGAGTGGTGGCGATATGGACAGATATATAGCCGGCATATTTGATGACTAGATTGGACGTTAATGGCAGTCAAGTGTCGCGTGTGTCTGATGCTTGGTTACCTGACCCATGGGCGTACTTCTTGCGGGGATTGGGGGCAAGATCACCAGCTTCTTGAATGAAACGTATTATTCAGATGTTCAAAAGCAGTTGACAAATCAATAATAAATTAAATTGGAAAATCACTTCATTTGATATGTTTCTTAACCAATCAATATATACAACAAGTTAGTATAATAAATTAGTCCACTGGGGTCAATATAAGCGCAAAAAAAACGTAAACTAGTTTATCATTAGTCAATTGAAAGTGAAATCGTAAACCAAATCAAAACTACTGATATCAACACGGTGTATTGTTTAACAATGTGATGACAGATATGGCTTTATTTATTTCAATATAATGACTGCTAGCTCAACTTTGTTGTTTAATTACACAATTCCAATTTAACTTAAGATATAAAACATATATTGACAAAATGTTTTCTAAAAAAAATTTTTTTTAATATAATCACAACATAAGCATCAATTTGAATGGAGGCAGCGAGTATATATGAATCCAATAAATTGTATCTTTCTATCGGATTAATTTGACTATAATAGAAACATATATTATCCCACCGCCAGTCCATTGAAAGTGAAACACCTAACCCAGATTCCCAAAAGCGCAATAGACACGCGAGATTTGCTGGCATATAGATGACATATATAGTTTATTTTTTTAAATGGCTGTCCATTTGCAATTATAAACACATTCAATCGGTTTTGCAATAAATAAAACTGGGTTATTCGTGCAGTTAAGATAAGTTAATGTTAATGGATTAAAAGAGGATCAGTCGTTTTAGGTCTCCGTTGTGGTGTCTTTAAATCAATTAGATATCGTAAAGAGATCATCGATAGCCGCCACGTTGTCCGCCACGACCACCTCCTCCGCCACGACCACCGCCTCCGCCACCACCACGTCCGCCCTGCGGATTCCATCCTGTTCCTTGCACACGTCCACTTCCGCTGATCCATTGCTGGTCATTTCTCTCACGGCTGCGATCGCGTTGGTTTTGGTTCTGGTTCTGGTTCTGATACTGCTGCTGTTGAGGCTGCTGCCAGTTGCCACCACGTCCGTCGCCGCCTCCTCCGCTGCCTCCCGCTCCTCCTCCACCTCCTCTTCCTCCTCCACCTCCTCCTCCTCTTCCGCCCCTGAAATTACCTCCGCCACCTCGTCCGCCTCCTTGAGGACCACCAGCCCTCTGCTGCTGCCACGAGGGCATCTCCGGAGGCGGTGGAGCATGCTCGTTGGCCCTTCCACCACGATCTGGCACCCGTCCAATCACATGCTTCTGTATCTTCGAGGCCGTGTTCTTCCTGACATTCGCCGAGCTGGTCTTCTCAATAATAGCCAAATCCGAGCGAGCGGCCAGAAGGGCCACCATGTCTGTCTGCTCTCCACCCACTTTGAGCTGCTCCAGTTCCTTCATCTGGCGATTAAAGCGGTCCATTATGTCATTGGAGCGTTGGCGCATAGACTCGGACCACTGGAAGCTTTGGACGGTGGCTTCCAGTCGGGTGGTCATCATCTGGCGGCGCAGATTGTACTCCGTCTCCAGATCGCGATGCAGGGACTCCAGGACGCGCCACTGGCCATCAGTCAGGGGCTTCTTCATTTTTAGCAGGGGTTCGCTGACCACCTGGCGATGGGTCTGCTTCAGGGATTGCTCCAAACGGGGTGTTACCTTCTCGAAAAGAAGTTTCGAATTGATGTTCTTGGGCAGCTCGCCCAGTTGAAGATCCTTGCATAGTTTTTCCACAATTTGCTGGACATTGGAGTCCGTTTTGGAGCGTTTGCATGGTGGTCCCACTGGCTGGCACTTCAGAACCATCTTGGTGGTCATAAGTTCGGATGTGAGGTACTCCAGCAGTTGGACCAACGAATTCCGGTCCTGGAAACGCTGTTCCATGGCTCCTTGTACCAACTGGCGATATGGGCAGCCCAATTCAGTGAGCAGCAAGGACAACTCGAAGGCAAACTCATCGTTATCCTTTCCGGCGGAGCTCACACGCTCATCGGTCTTCCGGAGAACGTGCAATTCGTGGGCCAGCCAATGGATCACAGCCCGCAGTTCCGCACTACCGACTCCCGCGTCCAGGGCGCGACTGAGGTTCTCCTGCTGCAGACAGGGTCCTTCGTAGGCCAACGCCTGCAGGGAGTCCACCACGTCCAGTTCCATCTCCATGTCCTTCAGGAATATCAAGCTTTTCTTTTAATTGTCAATTTTTCTGCCGGCATGGCAGTGTGGCCGCCGTTTTTTGGCCTTAATACCGAAACGCCTCACAAACTGCATTATCGGACCGCCAACGCAAAATTCCGTGTTTTGGCTTATTACAGCATTTTTCGCTGTTGAAAACCATTGTTAAAATTGCAACATCCTGATAGGAAGGCATTTAAATTAAGATTCCCGGAAAAATCTTGGAAATATCAGCGAAGTACATTTTGGCCTTACAGTAAATAGGGGTGACCATATTTTTAGTTAAAATATCAATTTTAGTGCAGACACAAACCATGATCTAAGGATCTAATAAGCAGTGCTGGAAAATATTTCTATATTGTGTAAAATAAAGTCTGTTATAAAAAATTCTTTCTCATTCTTGAACTTAAAGCAACGCTTTATTATTGAAAATGAAGCTAAGCTAAACGTTAAGCTTAAACAAATACAACAAATAATAGACATTAAAGTCATAATGCAACACTATGCGAAAATGATTTTTTAAATATTGAAATTCCGAGACCTTAATAAAATATTTCAAAAACAAATATTTAAGGCGAGGAAATAAATCAAGAAATATCCGTTTCAAAAAAGTTTTGTTTATTTGGTTTTCGTGCTGAAATAAAACAAACTAAATATTTTTTTATTTTTCGATAACTTCATTTATTGTAGTTTACCAATTTCAATATATATATATTTATGTATATATGATTTATATTTATAAGTAGTATAATGTATGTATTTTTGTTTTGTAAAGCAGGAAGTTTTAGGATTCGCATGAGTCGCACCTTTGGTGCCCACAAAAATCGTACAATTTTCTTTTGCGTTTTTTTAGGTTTTTCTTTTCTATACATACAACATTAATGTACTTAAAATGAACACACACATTTAGCTATATAATGTATACATAATAATATTCAGTTACTTCATGTCTTCCAAAAGAGGTACTAAACTTAAATAGAAACAAGTAAATCAAGAAAGCAAAGAAAGCTGATTGATGCGAAAAACATAAATATTTCTCTCCTCTAGGACAATGATAAAAATGGCACAAAAGTAAAGTTCCGCTGGGAAAGCCACGAAATGCGGTCGGGTATCGATCAAGCGGACTTAGGTGAAGCTGTACTGATTATCCACGGCACGTCCGGTGCACTCGGCTCCCCCACTGGATCCCGATCCATCTCCTGCTCCTCCGCTGTTGCCATCGCTGTGGTGCCGGTTGCTGGATGATCCCGCCGGATGATGGGCGGCTGCCTGGAGGGAGGCGTTCGAGGCCCGCAGATGCGGCTGGTCCAGAAAATTCTGGGCCGACGGCGGCGATCCGTGCACAGTTAGCGTTGTGGGATCCAAATGGAAATAGACTTGCTCCGGAAAATAGACGTGTGTTGGCTCCTGTGGCAGTTCGATTTCATTTGTCTTTAGGCGAACACTCAGATTCATGGTAATCACTTCGTTGCACTGTTGGTTCGGAAGATTGGAATAGGTTTAATTAGTCCGGTTTGTTTTTTAAGGCGGTCTGGGGGTGTGTGGTGAAACATGAAGCATGCGACAATCAAATCAAGCATTTAAACTTAACACAGAATAACTAACTAATTAAACTTTTAAGTCGTTAATTGAAGGGGAAGCCTTTATAAAAAATTACAAATATATTGTTTTGAAACCAAATTGAGCCATAATAAAAAAATACTAGTTATAGAAGAAGTACAAAATGTTATATGTTGGATTTCTTTTATTATATTTTTATCAAAAGAAACTTTAGAAAATAATTTTATTTGTTGTTGTCTTTACCTAAGTTAAAAAGTCACGGAAAAATTTGTTAATAAACTTTAAATTGTTTTCCAAAATAAAACAACAAAAATAAATTCGAATAAAATTCTTTCGATTGAAGCAACAACTTTTTGGCTCATCATTTTACTTTAAGGTTTTTAAGAACAGCCAGACAGTTACTAAACTATACAACATTCATCAGTTCACAGTTCAAACCCCATCCCATTTGCAATGAAATGATAAGAACATAATAGAAATCAAAGTAAAATAAAAAACCATCACTGACACTGAATTGACTCCAAAATTTTGGCTATCTCACATGTCTCGGCGACGGATGGCCACCGCCAGCAGCTCCCATTGCCGCTCCTCCTGCCGCGTTCGATGCCGATGATGATCCCTGCCCATTTTCGTGGCCATTTCCGTTTCCATTTCCATTGCCGTTGGCCGAAAGATCGTTGAGCTGCCCGGAATCATGATTAGCAGTCGTCGATGGATCGTTCAGTCTGCTGTGTGTGTGCACCCATTCGGTGAGGGTCACATCCGAAGTGCCGCCCGATTCCAGGGGTATCGGATTGTGGCGGAAATGTTCAAGCATCTCCTGGATCGAGGGGAACCACAGGTGCTGCACCCTACACTGTCCCTTTTCCGAGATGGTGAGCCGCAAGTGCTTGGCTCGACGCTGGTAGTTGAAGGTCAATACAAACTCTCCTCGGCGCGTCTCGCTTTGCCGGACCAAAAAGAATCCATGTCCGGCCGCATCCGAGTGGAGAACCATGCGGGCAGCTTCCGATCGTGTCAGTGTTCCATGGAACCAGGGAAACACGCTCATCTCGGCCGTCAGATCCGCCACATCCGCATCATTATCCGTGCCTTCGATGCCATCGAAGTTGCTGGAGGCGGAAAGGCGCTGTTCACCTCGATGCGGTCTCACGGGTATATCCGGTGGACCTGAGGGCGGAGTGGTGCCCAGTTCGTTGATGACATTCAATTCGCTGGCGGAAGTGGCACCGCCCTGACCCAAGGCGCTATCTGCCGACAAGGACGAGGAGAGGGGTGCTCCTCCGCCGACCAGATTTCCATTGGATCCGCCCTGCTGGTGGTACTGGGGATTCTGTATGCCACCAATGGGATTGGGGCTCGGATTTGTGGGCGATGTTTGCATTGCGACCGCCATCACGCCATCCGATTCGATCATTGGCTGCTGAGTGGGCGGCGTGCGCATGCAGTAGCGTATGGTGGCCAGCCAGCTGCGCATCTCCTCGGCGCTCTCCGCTTCAATCACGTACTCCATGTTGTTGTCCGCTTTTAGGACGAACGTATTCAGCCTGTCCGGCATTTCCAAAGCAGTGGTTTCGCGTGCCTCGGAGATGAGGAAGCAGAAGACGCCACTACGCGGCTTAGTCGCCTTGTGGGGTGTGTAAAACTCGAGCATGTAACCACCCACGGCCTTGACCAGCACCAGTCGGCACTTCTCCCACTTCTGGGAGCCCGTTGGCTGGTCGAGACTCTCTGGTGTCAGGTTGTTTACAGTGCCCTCCTTGCGGCATTCGACCACGATCTTGGCGAGCTTCGTCTTGCCCTGCTTACCACTTCCACCGCTGCCGTCCACGTCGTCCGAGTTTTTGTGGAAGAAGGCCTGCAGCAATGAGAACTTGGACGTTTAAAACAAATGGAAGCTATATAGACGGAATTTCCGACTATCAAACAACCCGGTACTCAAATTATTTCAGTATATTCAATTGCTTTTTTAAACCACTTTCTGTAGTATCTGCTTTTATAAGAATTAAAAAGATGTTAATGATAAGTTTTAAAAAAATGTATAGTTAAGTAATCTCTGATAAAGCTTTTAAATCATATCGATTACTTGTCTAGACTCATGTAAAAAACTTAGTTAATACCACAATAATTTCTGATGATTAAATGATTTTTGATTTATTAAAAAGCTAATCAAATTCCCCGTCAGCAAGCACTAATCGGAATTCTGCACTGAATGCAAAGAATGCCAGAATGAATGTTCTTATCTGCCCACTCATAATTCGTGATTATTTTCGTAATAATTATCTCACCGACACTCAACAGTTGGTTTCTATAATGGTTCTTATCAGAAATCAAAACATGTCTCAGTTGAAAACTATAATCTTCAGGCACTTTAAAGGAAAATTGCAGGATATTTTGCCATACGAACAGGGAATTAAAATCTACATTTAAGCTTAGAGGGACATGAATACCAGGTGTTACTAAAAAATTCTCAAAAATCAAAATACTCTGAGGTGGTTTCAAGAACGAAGTATTTCTTGTCCTTTGACAAACCCAGAGTACTCTTCTTAACTTGAAAGTGAATCCGTTTTAACCCAAACTCACCTTTCCCTTGCGCAGACCCTTAAATGAGAGTCGCCTTAGGAGAGACTTTGGAAGCAGGCGTGGTACCTCGTGCTCCTCCTCGAACTCCAGCGATCCCACGCCCGATTTCAGGGTACTTCGCCGCCGGAAAAATTCCGTGTCATAGTGTGCCGAAAAGGATTCGACAAATTTCTGGGAAAAGCTGCGATGCTGGATGTTCCTTGCCTCCTCCGGCGGCAGATTCCCATTGATGTATGTGATGCAGGCCTTGGCGAAATCCGAAGCAGCCACTCTGGCATGCCGTTCGCAGAACTCCTCCCAACTGGTTCCTCCGTAGGCGTAGGAGGAGACTCCCATGGGGCTTCCCGTGCCAATTGGTCCGGGTATGAGGTCACTTCCTCCGGCAATCGCTGCTGCTGTTGCGGATGAAGTTCCCAGGTTGTGATGACTACTCGCCGACGTGGGACCAATGTATCCGCCTGCGCTAAAGGCGCTCGAATTGGCCCCTGTACTATTGCCACCCATTTGGCCAGGTGGTTCCCAATCCCGATTTCGCTGCTCCTCCTGTTGCCTCTGCCGGTTCGGGTTCAGTTTGCCGCACGAGTTACCCAGCTGGAGTCCGTTTCAAAAGAGCTGAAATGGCGACAGAACAATGGTGTTGTGGCTTAGTCATTCGGGATTCCGGGAAAAGTACAGACTCTGCCTACAGCATTCTTAAAACAAAAACATTTGCATGTAATATATTCCACATAAAAGTCTGTACAAAAAGAGTATCAACAACAATACAATTTTTCATTTACTACACAATTAATGGACTTATAAATATCTTAGAATAAAAAACATTACTGGATCTGCTATTGAGATAGTTTTATTAAATAAAAGATTGCTAACAAAGTTATAAATATATACATATGTGTGCCTCTTGGCAAGTGATAAGTAAGCACTATCTACTCCACTTCCGTTTCCAATTAACTCAGGCTAAAAACACTTTGACTCTCTGACTCACAGGATACAAGATTTCTTCGAGTTTGGGGAATTTTGGCAATTTCGACTGTAAGAAACTTGATAAGAATTAAATAAAATATAATACCGATTCATTGATTTAAACTAATTCTTTGACTACACAACAATTTGCTGGTTAAAACTTCTGGTTTGGAAGAAAAACAGGTTAAGCTCAGTTTTTTTTTTTTCGTTTATTGCCATTTTTATACCCGTTACTCGTAGAGTAAAAGGGTATATTGTATTCGTGCAAAAGTATGTAACAGCTAGAAGGAAGCGTTTCCGACCCTATAAAGTATATATATTCTTGATCAGGGTCACTAGCCGAGTCGATATAGCCATGTCCGTCTGTCCGTCTGTCCGTCTGTCCGTCTGTCTGTCCGTCTGTCTGTCTGTCCGTATGAACGCTGAGATCTCGGAAACTATAAAAGCTAGAAGATTGGCATTTTGCATGTAGATTTTAGGAGTTCCTACGCAGCGCAAGTTTGTTTCAAACTGGTGCCACGCCCCCTTTAACGCCCACAATCGCTTATATACGATTTTAAAAATTTAAATATTTCGGAAAAGTAAAAATGCAGTTTTATTGTGTTTATCAATACCTATCGAAATGTAGAAGAAATTTTTCAAATCGGACCATTCGTTAAAAAGTTATGCGTGATCAAAGTTTCTATCTCCATCTCCCTCGCACTCCCTTTACCTGAGTAACGGGTATCTGATAGTCGGGGCACCCGACTATAGCGTTCTCTCTTGTTCTACATAATAAATATATTTATTTGATTTTGGAATTCCATTGAATTTGCTATCCTATTAGAACTTATTTTCATTTGGTGTGAAATTGATTTTAAAAGATTATTTTGATTGAACTTTTAAAGTTTTACATAAAAATAATTTTTTATTGCAAAGCTTTTATATTGATTTTTTAAAAAGTTTTAAATTACAACTTTTTGGATCTCTTTAATAGTACACACATTTATTTACAACAAAATGATTAAAGATTATAAGTAAATTTAATTGAATTGCTGTCACTATTTTCAAAGGAGACATTTTAAATTCTTTTAAAATACACAATTAATCAATATAATGAACATTTTCCAGACACAAGTACATATTTGAACATTACATTAAGTAACGCGCATTTTCCGAGCCACAATTAATCCTTCTTCTCGGCAATTGAAAACAAACGAAAACAAACTTGCGGCGTAGCCCACACACACAAATCCGAATGCAAACACACACACCCACACAACTACGCGTGGTGAAAAATTTCCCACAGGAATTTCCACGCCTACGTCACATTGCAATATGCGCCGAGAAAATGCTTATTAATTATTGCAAATATATTGTATTTCATGTAACCATTTAACATTTGAAAACAACTCACTTTGCGGTTTAGTTATTATCTAAATGCACGGCATCTTTTTTAACTTTTATTTTTCTACACAAATTGCATGTTATCTCGCTCACACACACACGCACATCCGCTCAAAATATTCTTTTGCGTTGTTGTTGTTGCGCGTAAAAGGAAATGGAAATCTTAATATTAATTACTAAAATAGCACATACACTGAGTATTTTTAAAGCAAACGCATCGACCGCAAGTTTTAATTGAGTTACCGCCCACTTGCAATATTATTTATCACTGATTTGTTTGTGTTTTCTTGCGATTTAAAACGAAAAAACCTCGAGCGTGAAAATAGCAATTACTCGTTACTCTCTTTAATGTGACCATAGCGCGGAACAGAACAAATTCTTTAAAACGCAATAAACCAAAAGGTGCGAAACTCAAATAACGAGAGTTGAATGGTTAGCACTGACTCAAACGCAGTGGAGAGTTTAACAACTTTATAATTGCTCTAAAACTGTATTTAGTGTGGTCGTAGCAATTAAAATAAACGCGCCAAACTTAAATTGCGGTAAAACGTAAAACCAGTTTGACGTAAAAGACAACAAATTGTTATTATTTAAAAACTTTTGTTATTACTCCCAAGATACTTAACAACTAAAACTTAACTTTGTAAGATCCGTGCTAATTAATAACTCCCAAGGTTTTTGGTTAAATCTCACATTTTTATTGTTTCTATACGTTTCGAAATTGCATTTACTTAAAATTACTATGTAACTATCGTTTCCATATGCATACAGTAATTATTTATTGTTAGCCGCATTAATAGTAAATAATTCAAATGTTTGAAACTTAATTTTCTTTGTGAAACACACGCAGTGCAACAGTTGTTGTCTATCATTTATTTATTGTTTGCAACGAACACATGCATTTTGGCAAAACATCATTATGGTTGTGAGTTGAGAGTGTGGGAAATTGGGGAAAAACGAGAGAAATCGAAGGACGGAAATGGGCGTGTGAAACGGAAACGAATAGCGAATAAATGTGTATGAAGGCGAGCTTACTAACTATTATTTGTTGCATGGTGGTTTGTTATCAATACACATACGTACATATCCATAGTTATGCATACGTTAACTTAAGTATTTACAGAACATACTGCCCGGTGTGGTTGAAATTCGAATCTCAAACGGTCTTCTAGTCTTTTTGCTATCGTTTCCCGTGTTTGCTTACAGATATATTAGTAATGCCTATGAACTGTAACTAATATTTCGCTTGATCTTTGTTCTACTCGCTAATTATCTGCATGATTGGAGACTTTAAAGCCGATTTGAATGAACTCTTGTATGTCGTATATATATATGTGAATATATAAAACCTTTCCGCTTAGGCTAGAAACTATAGTTATTCGGTTTTTGTTTTTATTTCACTAAGAAAACGAGGATCACCTAACTTAAAACGAAACTTAGTTAAGTTGAGTTAAAAAATACATACTCAATACGTTATTTAAGAGACAAACGTTAGTATTAGATCTTGTGTGTTTTTCACTTTGTTTGTTTTTGTTTTTCTTTGCTTTTAGATAGAGTACTCTCAGACTTCCAATTGTTTTGATGGTTGTTGCGCGATAAACGGCTCGCTCCACATGCGCCGCAGGTCGCCCTGCAAGAAAAGACCATAAAACATTATAGATATCGATCCGGGATTATTGGGGTATTGACAGCACCTTCAGATAGGCCATCAGCAAGAGCGGCAATAACGTAAAGGGCACCAGATAAAGCAGCGCTGGCTGAGCCGCCTTAAAGACCTCGGAGCTGACTGTCGCCGTAAGCAGACCCAAGAAATAACTGCAAGAAAGAGGGATTACAAATTAAATCATATTCATATTAAGTAAAACATCATTAAGTCATTCTTTAGTACTAAAATCTATTCCTTAAGTCTTCAATTTCGAGTTTAATTTTAAAAAATAATTCCTATTTAGACGACAGAAGAGATCATTGTACAATTTTCAGTATAATAACCTGTTTTGCCTTAGAAAACAATAAGATTTTCTAATTTCTAATTTTTCATATCGCTTAACATAGCATATAACACTTTGGAAAGTTTTTGCTGAGTAAGCGTCAAATTTAAAAAGCCTCAAGCTTTGTGACACATATCCGACTATGTCTTAGTTAAATGTGCGAGACTCATTAGAAATCAAAAAAAACCTACTTTCAATTACAACCTCCTTTTTTTCAACGACTTACCCCAGTAAGGAACAATGAAAGTATGTCAGCCTGGAGCCTACTCCCCTGGGCGGCGACAATGTGGGATCCGAGGTGACGCCCTGCGCCTTCTTGTACGCATCGTAACGCAGGACGAAGCACAGCAACAGTCCTGGCATCACCACATCCCCCAAGCCCAACATGGAGAAGTGGCCCGTGTTGTGGAGGCTGGGGAAAACGAGCTTTCCGGGCAGGTTCAGCTTCGGTGTATCCCGTACAATTCCGCCCAGATGCAACTTTCGGGCCACGATGCCAACTGGATTATCGGCGGGTCGCGTGGCCACCTTGACCATTACGTTGGTGCTGAAGATGTACGAGGAGAGGAATACCCAGAAGACGTCGTAGATAAGCAGGCCGGTCAACAGCAGCGTGGACACCTTCAGACTGGGCAAACGCACAAACGCAATGAACGCCACACACAGACCCATCCCCATTGCTAAACAAGAACGGAATTTGCTTTAAATAAATTCAATATTTCATTTCAAATCTTAGCATACCATCCATCAGCAGCCAGTGGCCAGTGAGCACCCAGATGCACACAATCGACACTGATAGCGTAAAGCTAAAGAGCTCCGCTGCCGTGAAGCGACCACAGATTCCGAATGAGAATCGCTTTCCATCCGTGCACGGCCGAATGATGTATTGGCACATGGGCAGCAGCAGGAAAGCCAAAGCCACGGTGGCAATAACTGTGGATAAAGAACAATCACTTTAATTTGGGAAATATTTCTTAAATAACACGGCAACAGAGGTTTTCTGCTATCTCACGTATTAAATTAGTTTTTAAAATACAAATATTTTAATAATTTTGATTTCTTAAATTTATAATAACGTAGCAAAAGCCTAATATAAAATGAATATAATTTGGTCATATGGTCATTATATAGACAAAATGAAAATATTTATATTTGAAGAGATACTCACTCGCTGTGCAGACGGCGAAAAGGAGCTGCATGGAGTCGAAAAAGAAGAACATGATGAGCAGTGAGATGGAAGCTCCAAGGGGCAAACACAGCGCATGCATCGTGTCCAAGGTGGCGAATTTATCCGCTGTGAAATACAGATCTGAAATTTATAAAATATTCCTTATGCTTTTAAGGTAACTTCACACATACTTGGTTCCTTCTCGACAGGCTCGCCAGTCAGGAGATTGGTCATAGATTCGTTTCGCTTCTTTTGCTCCCGCTCGCGGGCCTCCTGTTCGATATTCAGCGACCGGAAGCTGCCGTAGACGATCAGCAGCATCGATATGAGGCAGGTGGAGACCCGCGACGAGTCCATTACACTTGAGACCGTCCAGTGGAGTTCGCGGTATTCTCCACCGCCCGCTGCCGCTGCACCGCCTCCAAGTTGGCCGGCACCCACAGTTTGTGCTCCCAGACTGCCACCGGCTCCACCATGCGACATGCTCACTCCGGATCCTCCGGATGTGTCTTCTATTTCAAAGATATGTCGCCGACGTTCAGGTTCAGTTGGCTTCTCCGCTTATCAGTGGACCTGCGCTGGGGTTTATCGCGTTTTTATGTCGCTGCACCGCTTCAATCTAAACAAAAATGAAAAGTGAAATTTGAGTTGTTTTATTGATTTAGCGATAAGTTTTATATTTGCTGACCTTATCGCTAGTAACCCCCCGTATCTGTTTGTCTTCTTCAGGTTATTTGGACAGCTGCGATTAGGTTTTTGGGAGCACACACTCCCCAAGGTTTATTTTCCACGACTTCGCCTAAAGTCGAGCGCGGAAACCTTGGGGTCAACTTTCACGCACCTCACGAATTAGGCAACGAAAATAATAAAACGTTCTTGGCACTCAAAAAAAAATGAAGAGGAATATAAAATAAAGAATCGTCAGAAAACTTGCCATTTATAACGCTTTGCTTAAGACATTTATGAAAAACTATATTTATAATAAACATCAACTCAAAAATACATTTTTGAATGAATTTGATTTGTTCATATCTGCTTTCAAAAGTTACTCATTCTCAAGAAAGGTAAATAAATTTGTTTTAAATATATATGTAATAAATAAATTAGTATTTAAAGTAAGTATTTACACAAATGTGTGCAACTTAACTTACAACCTAACCTTTTTATGGAGCATTTATGTAAATAAAGTACCATGTTGTTATGCATTTTTTCATTATTAAATCGTTAAATACATACAAAGGAAAGGCTGTATAAGTAATTTCCCTTTTTAGTTTTTGGTCAATATCTATGAATAATTCATAGGTATGTAACTGACCCACCGATTTCAAGGTAATATGAAAAGTAAATAAATAGAAACTTTAGTATTTGTTTAGACTTAAAATTTGGTATAGTAAACTAAGGCTATAGCTGTAAAATGGAAAAGTATCAGCACAAAACTAGGACTGATTCTCCCATGTTTACTTTTACGTTTTGAAAATTAGCGGTAGCAATGGAAATGCATCCAGTCATGCCTATCATATAAACAAACATATGGACCGTCTATATATAGACATTTTATTTTATTTTCCCCATTTCTTATTTACAACGACTATTGCACCTTTCATTTTCTAGCATTAAGTGAAGAAACACAGAAAAACAATTGTATCGAGTTTCAAAATAATAATAAAAATAATAAAATGTTTTAAATTTCTGTATTGTGTAATTAAATATTTTCAGTATTGGGAAAAAACCATATGTATTTGATTCAATATAAAATTACTACAAAATAGATTTTGTAACTAAACCGTTGTTTGTTCTTTAAAGTGGTTTTTTTTCTGTGTAGGTAAATATAATAACAACAACCGGTGTGAGAAAATAACAGATTGTCCGCTTGGGACTTACATGTAGCAATAACAACAATTAACCGACAAGAAGAAGGCCGTAAAAAGCAGTTAAAATTGGAATAAATTATAAAAGCGTTACCCAGTTTTCCATGATGCCAGTTCCATTGTTATTGCCACAAATTCTATAGTATTTTCACACACACAACCACACACACACCCACGCAGGGTTGTTGCACTTGGGAAATGGAAATGTTAAGTCGCTGTTATTAGAGCGGCGCTCTGCTAACTCGCTAATAACAAAGCGAGATAGTTGCTAATGACAATAGTGGGACTAAGCGAGACAGTTGTTAACTTCCTTGGCCACTGTCGTATTAGTGTTGTTGTTGCATGTTGCCAAGTGCCGTTGCTCGCACTAATTTACGTTGACTGGTGGCAAATGTACATAAGTGCATATGTATTGGTGAAGGTGTTTGTGTGTGGAATGCAAATGATTGAAAAATATTTACAGCGGGCAGTAACATAATAGTGGCAGTGTACGTATTAGTGATTTATAAAAAAGTTTATTGGCTTAAAAATTAAATAATCAAAGGTTTGTTTTTACGTCTTACTGAATCCCTTTTTTTTTAGTTTTTTTTAGTACATGCCTCTAAAATTTTAACCGCAACTGTAGTGAAATATGTGTACTTTTCATTCCACGATTGTGTTGGAGTGTTGTTGTTCCCCTTTTTCCCCGTCTCTCTCTCTACCTTTTAATTTTTTTTCTGGATGCAACAATTTAAGTTTCCCACACATTGCAATTCCAAAGGGGCCTTGCGGGGGACGAAAATATTTAACGAGCGCTAATTAGAATTAAATTATGTGTCGGGTGTAAAGTTACGCTCTCCAAAGTTGACACATTTTGCGGAGAATTTTCACAGTTTAAAGCGGTTAACGAACATGAGCATCATAATTAGCCAAACTCATTAGGAAACGCCGCTCACATCACATATGTACATAAACATCCACACACACAGGCAAACACTTTCTAATTTGAAACGCCCCAAAGTGGGGAACAAATATAAAAATAAAAGAAGTGCCAAGCAATTGGCTTTGCTGTAACTGCCCACGACGAATGTGAAAGTGAAATTTGCCAAGATACAGAGACAGGGGCGCCAAAAGGGGGGGCCTTGTCAAAAGGGTTACTGGTGATACACAGAAGAGTCAATTTTTCAAATTAAAACTAGCTAATATATTATTAAACAAACAATAAAGAAAATGTTTGTTTAAATATCGATTACATATTTTTAAAACTTCATACTGTGTAACGTATAAGAACACGATGTTATTAAATAAATATGTTTATTTCTGAGTTTAACAAAACAAAGAAAACAGCAAATGTTTTTAATTGTAATCTCTTAATGTCAATACTAAAATTAAATTCTAATCTTTACTCATATTAAAAACATTATATTAGAAAAGATATTATTTTTATATATATAATCCCTATACGAATATAATGAGAAATAAAACTTTTTAATGCACTGAATGCGGAAAGCATAAAAACAAGTGCGTAAACTGGGCGCAGTATTTTTTTATTATGCAAAAGGGGGAGGGGCTTCGGCAAAGACTGGATTGCAGCGCCTGAGAAATCTTTTATACAAGTAAAGCTTAGCCTGCGCTTTAAGGTTTTTTCCGTTTCGTCTTTGGTTACACTCCACTTCATTCCATTCCACCTCCATTTCACAAAACTCCAACTTCGCTCCACTGCGTAACAAAAAAGTTGGGGGACTTTTCGCTTACTTTGCCTTCACATTCACATTCGCGTTTGGCTGTATTTTCCTTGGTTTTTGTTTTTTTCCTTTGCACCGATATTCGTATTCGCGATAAAAAAGTGTCTGCTACATTTTCACGCGCTTTTCATTTGCCCTGCGAGCCGCTTTCCTTGCACATTTCCACGATCTTCGGCGGTCGCTGATCTTTAACGTTAGACTGCCATTTTTCATTTATTTCTATTAGTAACTATTGCGGTGCGAAGAGGAGGAGAAACAACAACGAATTAAACATTTGACGGAACGACGACGCTTTAGGCAATTTTCGCCTGCGCGAGCAGTGTGACCGTGCTAGTAACGTTTGCTTATACCACGCAAATAACGGTCGCATTTCGACGTTGTCTTTGCTTTTTCGCCAAAGGGTTCCCTTAATGTTTGCCTTTGTTTTTGTTGTTTAAATAGGGAAAAACTAAATTGCATATTCGTTCTTTTTGAATTATTGTTTACAAGCTAAAACTAATCTCAATTTGGGAGGATTGATCCATAAATCTTATACTCGAACATTTGCAATCTTTGTGGCTTTAAGGTTTTTTATCTTAATTTTATTTATTTATATTAAAACATACACATACATTTCGGAGATCGAGGAAGAAATATGCCAAAATCCTTGTAATAATGTAACAAAAAATATAGATAAGGAATGTTAGGTTTGAGGATAGGCTGGAAATCCAGGTAGGTTGTAGTCATCGTTAGTCCTGATCAAAGTTATATACCTTTGGACTCAAAATCTTGTGTGGCTTAATTAGGTTGTTATTTTATCAGTAAATGCGTTTCTATACCCCGAATGGTGTATTTTTCAAGTTAACGGTCACATTGTTTTAAGATTTTTACATTGGACGAACGCCTCGATGTACAAATAAAATTTTAAAATAAATCGGGTGCAACGGCAAATCGGAGATTCTTAATCCTGGAAATTCGAAAAAAAACGAAAAATACAGTGCATAAACCGTGTGTTTTATAAGAGTGTGGAAAAGCGGAAAAGTGCAGTCGAGAGTGCTGCAGTTCCAATTTCCTTTAAAAAAGAGCATCTCCAAGTGGTTGACAAACCAGTTAAATCCAAGTCACTTTTAAGGAGTTTTTTAATAGAACAAATTAATCCACCATGGGTCTCAACGGCTGCTGTTCGTGCGTCAAATATCTGATGGTCCTTATAAACATTTTATTCTGGGTATGTAGATTCCAGCAACAACAATCTCAGATTCTCTCCCATCACAACAACAACTGGAACACACGACCTCCTTGTTAGCATATGTATGTGTTTGTGGGTGTTTTTGTGTTCCCTACGCCCCTATTTCTCTGGCTGTGTGTTGGCGCGGGGGGAGAGGACGTGCGCACGCTCTTTGAGTCCTACAGCGTTCTCTCTTTTCGCTCTTCCCCTTTCTCAGAGGTGCTCAAAACAAAAGTAATGAACATAAAAAATTGGGAAGTTTAAAAAAAATTACAAAAACTTATAACATTACAAAAATTCATGTTTGTTTTTGTTCAAAAAAAAAAGGTATCTAGAAACGTGCTTTGTGTAATTATTAATGTAATTTACTTAGTTTAATAAGGCTTTAAACAATTTGGTATTGTTAAACTATTAAAAAAAATGAATACAACTTCCAAATCTTTTATCTAAAAATTGTCGACAGAGTAAACCCGATTGTTATTAGTTAATGGCCCTGTACTTGAATTATATTGAGTTTGTCTTATATTATATTAAAATGTTTAAGCTAATGCCACGAATTGCCAAAGAATACTTTTTTGTTCTTCTAAAATACGCAAATTAAGATAAGATGTAACAAGCCGCAGCGACATCACTGATAGCCCTGCATCAGCACCTTATTTCCCCCCAAAAACAATAGAAGTTCCGTTGGGGGAAGAGAGTGAATGAGACACACATGCAGACTCTTGCAGACCCACAACATTTAGGCATCTTCTCCACCATTTTCCACTCCCTCCCACTCATTTCCTTGTTCAGTTGTTTTGCTTCTGCTTCTGTTTTTTTTGTTGTAATATTTGTATAACGTATACGTGCATTTGATATTTTTACAAACTTCGGCAGGATTAATTAGTTAAAAAAAATTTACTCTTTAAAAGGTTAACATTTTTACCTCACTATTTACTTGTCTACGCAATTTTGGACTTTCTACATCGCCCCGTTTGAGTTTCAATTATTTCCATTCAATTATTATCACTGATACTGTTTGTGTTTGTTTTTCTTCAGTATTTCTTGGATTTTCCTCTGGTCTCTTGTTGCTTGCGAAATCAGTTTCGCTTTTTCTTTGGGCAACAAATTTAAAATTCTGATGCTTATGCGGGTTGTTTTTAATTTTTTTCTTTTGGTTTGTTGTTTGTTGCTGCCTTTTTTCGATTTCTGTCTATAGTATTTATTAGTCAAAAGCTATTTTCGAATACGGGCAGAAAACAACAAAAACTTACATACGCGTCCGTTCGTTGCTGTACACAGAAACAATGCTGCGCTATTTTCCCCATTTCCGTAATTGCATTATTTTATAAAAATTCAATACCTTCATACATGATTCCAATTTTTCAAATTTTGTAAAAAAAAAATTTTAATAAAATTTTCAATAAGACTAAACATTTTTTATGATTAAGATCCCAACTATCAATTTTCTTGCTGATCAAGTTTTTAAATATATCTCGTAAACCCATTTTAAATATATTGTAACTACGAAAATTTTAAGAACAATTTTAAAACCAAATTACAAATTTACTCTCAAAATGCTTATAACTTTTTTTATTAGTGTATTTTTCCTTGATCTGTGATATTTTACTATTGGTCGTTGTTGTTGTTTTTTGCACAGTCGTATGTGTTTTAAGTTTTTGGAGGCAATAATAAGTGATGGAAATTGTGATGTTTTTGTGATGCAGTTTGTTTTACTTATCGTTTGAACTATTTTTAGAGCAAAGTATGGATAAAGAGTACGTCAAATATTTGTTTGTTATGTGGGTATTTTTATCACGAGGGAAGTTATCAATTAACATATGTATAAACAAAGTAAATTTAGTACAAATTAATTGCAGTTGATAGTTGTGGTTAATCCTAACCACAACACAAAAAAAATATTACCACTTCCATGAAATGATTACCACTGAAACAATTGCTTCGAATCCGTCTCCACTGTGCATTGGTTTCCAAACATTTCCATTTTCATCGTCGCCATGGGGCATCGTGATCAAACGCCACGATCTCTGAGGAAGCTGACGTTCCAATGAGGCCGATATCCCAGATCTAAGATGCCGGGGGAGTCCTATGCCAAAAATGCTAAACGGCCGGCGCTGTCGTCATTGAAGTTGACAGTGGCCAAATTCGAATATATCTAAAAAATTCCGTTAGCCATCTGACAAGGCTTGCGTTCCGTCCTGTCCTGTCCACCCACCAAAAAGCAATTCATTTTCTTACAGTCCAACTTCCACAAGTAAAACTACTATTACCATTGGTATTTAAAGGGAGCTTAAGAGATTATTTTTTATCGCACTTAGTTTTTTAGTATTTACTCTTTGGCCTGATGATAATAATAACAAAATGATGTTTAAAATCGTTAAATTCGTATATCTTATTATATATATATTGATAAATGGAAATACAGTTTTTTAATAATTCTATATTTTGTATAAACTTAAAAAAATAAAAAACAAAACTTTATTAAAAAAAAAGGGAAGTAGTTTTCCTACAACATTTTCTTTAACGGTTGACTGTATCTATTTCCAATCCGCTCACACATGTCAGTCAAATCTAAATGCATAATTCGCTGTGCATTTTTCACTCAATTATTCATGAGTTGCGCTCCATTCATTTTTTATTTTTCAGTTTTTAGTTTTGTGAGTTGACATGATGGGGCTGCAATTTGCCATCGATGCGGTTAATTGTGGGACAAAACTGCGACTGGACATGCATGGCAACCCCAGCTGCTCTTTTACCATTGCCCCTCGTTTTTTTTGCAATTTAGCAGCAGGAAAATCCTCTCTCGTTTTCCGCTTTCAACGCCTCGGCACTAAAAAGTGGGTCAACGAAGGACTCTACACATTTATTGGCCTATTCGGCAGACTTTCTGTTTGTTTGTCATGGACATGCGATATAGTGTCATATATGTACAAATATACATACATATGTTGAAACGTACTGGGAATCGTAAAATTCCAACAATCATAGCTACACCCAAGGCGTGTATTCGGTTCAAACTCGGAAAAATAGAACTAAATATCGGGGTCAACATTTGTTCTTTAAATTTTAAACATAAATGTCTTGGTTCGACAGAATAATAATAAAACCAACTAATATTTTAAAACTTAAAGTTATATTTTTGTATATTATAATTAGATAACATTGTATAAATTTTTATACAGGAATGAAAGATATTATGGTAAAGAGAAGTTTTTTAAACGGAGGGCTCTGAAAATTCTCTCTGCTATTATATAATTTCTTAAAAAGGTTTACTACTAAAGAAAATTCTTGCTTTAACTCTAAAAATGGACAGAGGTATGCGAACACCCGGTTTTGGTTACAAAATATGCCGTCCGTGCTTTTGATGTTACTCAATAAACGGCCCTCGTATAGCGACAACATTGTATTACGTTTCCATGAGTAGTTTTTCCGTTAGCTCCACACATTCACACCCATGAACTTTTAGGGCAGTATAGTGCAGTTTGTGTGGCACACTTTTTGTCTCGTTCGCTTTTCAGCAGCTCACTCTTTCGTGGACCACCCGCATAAAGCCGGTCTTTGCTTCTCTTATTTTTCATTAGATTTTCATGAAATTTTTGACTTTGTTGCTGGTGCGTTTGCTTATTCCCATAGAGATTTTCCTTTCTCTAGAGAGTTGTTTTTAGAGCTTGTATGTCAAAAATAATGGCGCTACTAAAATTGTACTATAATTATAAGGCAACGGCCAAATTAACCCTTTTAACATGTATATAAAAATGTCAAAAATTTTAAATATATGTATAACTTTTAACATAATTGTATCTTTATTTTTGTTTTATATTTGACTGAAATATCTAAAGTTACATTTAATAATGCGGAATATATTATTAAACTTTTTGGTGTTTTATATTTCCATAAATAGAGAAATTTAATAAATGTTTTAATTTCTCAGATTTTTTGGTGATCTTCTGCGTAATCTTATCAAAAAGCACAGATGCTCGAAGTGCTCTAGTTTTCTTGGCAATTACGAAAGACTTGGAGCAGAACAGAAGCAATAGATAAGATTTGTATTTTGAAATGTTTCTCAGTTTGCCTTCCGTTTGTAAGAGGCTGTAAATTTAAAAAGTTTTCCATATAATATGTGCACTTGCCTACATATCTTGATTAGTTCTCATCGCACACTCAATTTCCCTGCGATGAATAATTTTGCTGAATAATTAATGAACTTGCATTGATTCACTTATGCCTGTGGTCGTCGCCTATTAAGTCATAAGCTCTTTATTAGATTTTCTCACTCATCGCACGAATGGAAATTTAAGTACATTGTTTTTATGTATGCTTGGCTAGGCAACCATTAATATAGCAGACTTTAATCAAAATAAATCTACAAGAAATTCAAAAAAAAAGTTGGCTTTGCTTTTGCTGATTACCCGAGAAGTGCGATAATAAGAGCTTGGCATCACAATATTCTCGCAGTCTTTTATGTGTGTACCCTTGTACAGATGGATTTATACAGTCGGTATTGACGATAAGCTCTAAAATTGTTTTATATTATTTACTTAAGTGTTGATTTATTTAACAGCGACCTTTAGTAAAAACCTTTTCTTATTTTGATCCAAAATCTGAACAAATTTGTTAAAGCTAAAATTAATTTCTTATTAATCCTCAGTTAACTACAGCGAACCTTACTATAATTTAATTAAAAGAATCCAAACTGAAAGTGACAAATATAATTTGACGCTTCCACTTAGCTGACATCATAAGTTTGAACCTATAGAGCTTAAGGGAAGGAAACTATGGCCGGGCAGTCCCCTACTTTAATTGCCGCCTCGCCAGATGGCGTCATTGAGGCGTGTTTCCCAGTGTGTAGAATGCAACTATTAGAGAATTACACAGAACATTTTTAAAAATAAAAAATACTCTACTCTATTTTATTTTTGTTTCCTTACAGCTCATCGGCTTGACCATAGTGATCACCTCTGTTTGGGCGCTAACAGATCCCACATTCGTGCTGTCGACGACACAATCCTACAAACATTATTATATAGGCGTCTATATTTTCCTGGCTATCGGTTTACTGATCACATTGGGCGCATTTTTTGGCTGTTGTGGCGTTTGTCGAGAGTCGCAATGTCTGCTGGTTTCGGTAAGTAAAAAGTGGAGTTTATCTTTAATGGCAGAGTCTGGGAATTCCAATTAAAATGGATGCAAATGTGTGGCCCACACTGTTCCGCTCATGTAATTGCAACGGAGGTTCGCCCACGTTGTCTTGGCAAGTCTGCAAACTGCTGCACTCAACAAAATTGGCATAATATTTAAAAATTTATTTAAGAGATGTTTGGGCACTAATATCTCAAATGAATTTGAAAATTAAAAAAAAAACATTTGGAATATTACATTATTTAATATTTTTTGAAGTTTTTTATACCCGTTACTCGTAGAGTAAAAGGGTATATTGTATTCGTGCAAAAGTATGTAACAGCTAGAAGGAAGCGTTTCCGACCCTATAAAGTATATATATTCTTGATCAGGGTCACTAGCCGAGTCGATATAGCCATGTCCGTCTGTCCGTCTGTCTGTCCGTCTGTCTGTCCGTCCGTATGAACGCTGAGATCTCGGAAACTATAAAAGCTAGAATATTGGCATTTTCATGCAGATTCTAGAAGTTCCTACGCAGCGCAAGTTTGTTTCAAAAGGTGCCACGCCCCCTTAACGCCCACAATCGCTAATATACGATTTTAAAAATTTAAATATTTCGGAAAAGTAAAAATGCAGTTTTATTGTGTTTATCAATACCTATCGAAATGTAGAAGAAATTTTTCAAATCGGACCATTCGTTAAAAAGTTATGCGTGATCAAAGTTTCTATCTCCATCTCCCTCGCACTCCCTTTAGCTGAGTAACGGGTATCTGATAGTCGGGGCACCCGACTATAGCGTTCTCTCTTGTTTTAATATAAAAAATTTACTTCTCCGATTCCTAAAACAGTATACGTTCTAAAGAGTTTTTTTTTCGATTGCGAATATATCTTGCTTAAATTGTAGCAGTTTATTTACTCAACGCCCACGGAACTGTCTTACTCCGCCATTCATAAATCTGAAATTCTCTTGCAGTTCTTCTGTGTCATACTCATCGTGATGGTGGCACAAATTGCAGCCGGAGCCTGGGCCTTCCACAACAAAGACAAGCTGGATGACATTGTGCGGGCGTCATTCAAGTCTTCAGTTCAAGAGGAGTACGGCCAGTCCACCATGAGTACACGCACCGTCACATTCGATGCACTGCAAAAGAATGTAAATATTTAAACTATCACCATACTTGCAGAAACCCGATTATATATACATTTTTATTGTCTTCAGTTGAAATGCTGCGGTGCCGATGGACCTGGAGACTGGGCCACGAGTCGTTTTAATAATGTGGATCGCACAAATATAGTAGATATCGCCGTGTCTTCCATGAATGTGTTTTATAACATACCCGAGTCCTGCTGCAAGGATGATCTAAAGGATAACGAATGTGAGCTGTCGCGACGTCTGAAATTTGGTGGTCCATTGAACAATGCCATTTATCAACAGGTAATTCAAAGTTATTCATTTCGGTTCTTTCTTTGTTAAAATCCATGGACTGTCCATTTATTCATCGCTCGTTTTTCGATTCAATGAATTACCAAAAAACGATCAAAAGTCAATTGATAGGTGTGTCCAAATCATAATTTCTTTGGTTACTGATCGCTATCATCGGTCTGGCCATAAAAATTGACTATCCTTTACCCTTCCGTTGTTTTTGTCCGGACTGCAAGCTAAGAGCGGCTGGGCTAATAAAAATTCTCGCCCGACAGGGCACCAGACGATAAAAATGTTTTAATTAATATTGATATTCAACACGCATTTCAAACTTTTGTCTGCTTGTCTGGATGTGTTGTTTGTAGAAATAAATCCAGAGAATTCTCGCTGTAAACAAACTGAACATTCTTATATACAAACCGTTTAATGAGTTTCTATGTGTCTTACAGGGTTGCGTGGACAAATTGATTGAGATCATTTACAACAACTGGGTCACCATTTTCGCCGTAACCGCTGCTGTCATTCTGCTGGAGCTGCTGTCCCTGACTTTTGCCCTGAGCCTGTGCTGTGCGGTGAGGAATCAGCACTACAAGGCCTGAGAGTTACAGAACTCCCATAGGGAAATTACGGACGATGAGAAGTACTAACAAACCAAATCGAAACGGATGCATAGCGAGCGTTATTACTGAAGACGTGCGAATGGGAAAAGGCAGCTAGCAATGAAGGCTAGCGATATAATGTCCACTCCCTGGTCAATACTTTAACAACACAACTGACAACAGCAACAACACAATTTTGTAGTACTTTTAACAACAAGACAAGCAAAAACAACGGAAGCAAGCTGAGCAATTGTATTTGAGATATGACTACTTTTTGGAATTTGTGTAAAGTTTTTAAAGCACAATCCACAGGAGTTACGGAAGCGACTTTATATGAACTTGATATGCCAGCAGAGCAAAAATAAACAACACTTTTCTAACAAAATATTTCTACCACGAAAAACACAGACAGTAAACTCTATATATATGTGCGATTAACATAAGCAGCTCCATAATACTTAGCATAGCGAAGTTTCGAATTCATAGATACATACTATATGTTTAATATATAGATCAAAAGATAAGCACGAAAGTATAATGTTAAATGCCAAAACAAATGAAATAATGTTAAAAAGAAAAGCAATCAAAATTCTTTTAAAATTTATTTCTCCCATAAGACTTTCACATCAATTACGAATTGGGTTTTTCAGCTGCCATTTACGTATGCTAACACAACGCCAAATGATATATAATTCATATATACGTATGAATCATATGATAACAGCATTCCACAAGAATGAGAATGATTGACAGATTTTAGTTCTGGTAAAATCGCATTGCCATCCAAAGACCCTGCCCAAAATATATTTTCAAATCATTTTTTAACTTGTGCAAAATGTTGTGCTTAAAATCGAATACCATTCAATTCGTAGAGCTCGCGAAATTAAATGCCAAATATTTTATGTATTTACAAAATTGTAATTTAATTTATTTATGTCTATTTATTTGAGCAAAAGCCGTCAAGGAGCGAAAACAAAATGTTTAGAAATAAAACGTAAATGATGGTCACTCTGTCGACAAACAGCATTCTGTATTTTTAACACATACTATAGCCAAGCATTAAATTGGCCAGTGTTATATTTTATGGAACTATAACCGCTGTATTTGAAAAACTTGCAGTGGGTCAGGTATTTGTAATGCACTGAAAAAAACATCTTTGGCGTTATAAAATGTAGATATTTTTGATCCTTATCGTGTCGGATTATTGTGCCCCAGAATAACCATACATAAAATTGGGTTGAAAATTTGTCAATGATGGATGAAGACATACATGGGTTAAATAAGATATTGATAAGCTTATTTATAAATGGTTTGATTTAGTGTTGGCCAAGCTGTTAATTCATAACCTGTATAATCCCACACACTAGAATCGAATTTTGTCGAATCCAACTTACCTGCATCGAAATATTTTATAATTTAGGTCAACTATTTATAACTAAAATGGTCAAATCAGCACAAAATGTTAAATGAAAAGTACACACGAATGAAAAGTCTCTATATTTACATTGTATTTTTACCATACACCATAATCTAATTAAAGGATATATATTTTTTGTAACCTTTTCATTTTAATGTTGTTATATGTGAATTTTGTTGTTAGTTAAGCGTAGCCTGAAAGTCACACTTTGTACCCCTTCACAGCGTTTAAATAAATTAAATCTACAAAATCCAATCCATGGACAAAATTATACTAAATTTACAAAAAAAAAAAATGAATATTAAAATATAATGTATTTAAATTTACACATTAAACTATATTATTTATTTTAAACTTTCTTAGTAAGTAGTTACGTGCGGAATTTCAAGAAGTTAAATCAAATAAAAAGAATAACGTTTTAGGCTAAAATATAAACCTCATAAAATTCACGTTTTTCTGTTCGATTTGTAGCAAAACATTGGAATATTTTAAAAATAAAATCTTAAAAATAAAGAAATACTTCGATATTTGGGCAGAATTGAACGTAGCACAAAACTTCATCAAACATCTTAAATCAAAACCAAAATAAATAAAGAATTCTACTCTCCAAACAAAAATACAATCAACTTAGCATCTTCATAATGTACGGAATAATGCTAATAATTGTTTGAAAAAACTGCACATTTAGCAAGACATCTAAAATTGAAATTGAAAAAGTTAAGCAATATAAACGATGCTCAAGATCTGTATTTAACAACATGATACCTACACCATGGTAAAGATAATACTGAATCATTATGGGTAATTGGGATAAATTATAGAAAACCGCGGCATACAAACTGATATTTCAAATAAATAAACATACAATAAAATAAATATATTCAATTTTTTATTGATTAGCTTGGGTTTTACAAATTGCGGATAAGACATGTTCATCCCGACTAATGAAAATGCATGAGTGAAGTACATAATTAAAGTGTTATTTTTATTAAAATGTTTTATCTGTTTTACTTTTTACCCATTTTTTTTGGGGATGGTGTCACTTAAGATTTCTTCATTTTTTGTATTGTTTTTAATTTTACGTGGCATAAGAACTGTTTTATATTTGTGGGTTACTAAAGTTTTATTTTTTACTCTAAAAACTAAAGTACAACGAAATTTTAATGAGAGTATTCAAGAACATAAGCATTAATAGGACCTACTAAAATTAACTTCCATTAGGTATTCCCTAAGCTGACAATATTTAACTAAAAGTACATTTAAATGGTTTTAGTTTTAAACATCTCTTCTCCTTTTCATTTTTGTTGTTTTAGCTTAGTTAAACAGTTATTTTCATTCAAAAAGTGGACAACAAATAGCTCCTTTTTTAATTGTTTGGAATAATGATTGTTAAAGGAATTATCAGGATCTTTAGACAATTAAATTAATTTAATTTACACATAGATGGATTTGTCAAGTCGGATAGTATTGTTATTTAAGTTGTATTATTTCAACAAACGTTTAGAGGGTTTCCTATCATGTACTTATAAACAATCCAAATCACTAACCACGTTTTCTCTTGTTAAGTTTATGTTCCAGTATTATTCATAAAGATAGCATAAATCATGTATTAGTTAACTAAAAGATTTAGATTACAGGATGTTTAATGGTAGTTAGGGATTCAACATCTTGTGTTTCATTTACAAATCGCTTAGGCTGAAAAATTATTATCGTAATTTACATTTACCATAGGTACATTTGGATTAAATTTAGTTTCAACTAAATACGAATTAAACGTAGTTGTAAAAATAATGCTAAAAATTATTTACTACACATTAGTTACACATATTAAGGTCTGGTATGGGAAACCGATTTAGATTTCGATTTCCATTCCATCTTGCTAGTAACAATTAACGTTGATTTTGACATAGCATAGTGGATAATCTTCCAGGACATTTAGCAGCTAAAACCGATTTTATAACATTATTTACCAATTCGGTTGGTTAAATAAATCTCGTTACTTTTAATTTACTTTTAACATTAGGTATAAGCGTTTCAATTTCATTATTTATTATGTTGACTAGTTAGACACATAGCTTTCTTCAATTCGAAAGATAGGTTAATATCAATTAGTTGCCATTTATGTTTTGGACAGTGTACGTTCATATTGCATAGATCGTTTCTTAAAAGTTAGAAATTGTGGGTGGTTTACCGAGTAGGTCGCATAGGTTTTTGTTTAGCCAAGATTAATTTTTTTTCAACAAAATGGTCTTGCTCAACACATTTACTAATGCTAAGATTATTTGATGATGGAATCGCATAAAATGGCTTTGCCGTTTGATGGGAGTATTTTATTTTACTGATGTTCATTTTATATTTCATGGTGGAAGGAAGCCATTTTGGTAGGTGTGCCAAACACTTCAAAATATATAGTTTAACATAGTCGTTGGCTTGATGATTTTACCTAAATTATATTAAGGTACAATCTTTGTTAAGCCTCTTACTGTTCTCACTGTTTAAAAATTGAACATTTAGATTTTTTTCTAATACATAGTTAGCTCTTTTTAAAGTCAACTGCTAGGTTGAATAATTAAATTAAAAAATTAAAAGGTTTTTCGTGGCGTCATAAAACCACTGATTCGCGCTTTTTAATTATGTTCTCCGCTTGGGGCTTTTTTTCAGAAATATGTTATTGTTTGAAGCAACAATGGAAGAACAATGTGTACAACTAAAAGAGGAAATAGGAAATATCAAACCACATTGATTGTCTTGTCTTGTCCATGCACAATTAAGCGTTCAATGTTTGTGTATGAGTATTGTTAAATGGTTCTCGTTCCTTTATTATGTTACATTTTCATTTCGCTGCACAACTTTTGTCTATTTATCAAGTCACCCCGCCTTTTTTGGGGGATGATGAAGTATGGGTATGTAAAATGTGGGGCGTTAAAAAAAAGTCAGACAAACCCTCGGGCATTTATTTGTAAATATGACCATGCATGTGTAATTAAATAAAAACGTAATTTAATTGAAGAGTCATGTTATGAATTGCAGTTAACATTAAATAATCAACACGGCCTTGTATAAATATAAAATTAATCGTAATTGTCAAGTGCTATTTTTATATATCGGTGGTTGGTTGGGCACACAAAACCCAGGCATATTTTATTCATGTGTTTATATAGTATCTATTTTTTGCCTTTTCAAACCAATATTGCTAGGAGACAGCTTTATTGAGACAAATTGTAAATTCAATTAGTTGATGCAAATTTTAAAACCCACACATGCAAATTTGTGCAAATTGAAAATGAGTTTTAATAGAATTTTCCACAG